AGGTGCAGACCCTTAGCCACAGAGCCACCGCTCCGCCCAAAAGCTGTGCAATAGAATCGCCTAAATCACAAAGTCATCCCATTTGCAGGTAGACGTGGATCACATATCAAAAGACTCACAAACTACACTCCTGTCCCCTTGAGATTTCTGGAAACTAATACACTAATGTTCAGTACCTTGAACAGGCCCTTGCCCAGATACAGTTACTCACTCTTTCCACTGCCATGAACTAAATGAAAGACCACCAAAGCTACAGTAAACGAACCAGGGAAGCCTTTCTTTAAAGTCCATCGGAAACGCCAAAACAGAAAAGAACATTTGCGTTGCTATGTTTAACTTTCAGGCCTTAGTCATTTGCATTCAGTGGGTGGGAATTTATGAAAGCTTTGTAACTACTTAACACCCTAGAATTTCATCCAGTTCTCCTCAGAAGTAAAAAAGAACATTTATCACACACTACTGAAATCTCATTTTTTCCACAGCTCATGTGTTCTTGTATGTACTGTAGTTGTTTTCTTCTTCGATGTCTCACAGCAATCTGAGTCAAAAGCCATACACTTGTAAAGACTTTAATAACAGGTCTCAGAGAGTTGATTGACTGGAACACCAAGGCAGATGTGCAGACATAAACCAATCTATATTGGAAGACTTTATGCTTTTGATTACTAGCAGAATGCTGACAGTACTGTTACTGTTTTTCCCCTGTAGACCATCAGAAATTCAACGCCCTTCATATCCAAAGAGCCACATAAAAGTGCCTCTTGCGATTTGACTGAAACTGCATCATCGTCGCAAAATTAAATTACAACCCTGAAGACACGGCTCAGCTCAAAATGAACTTGGGGAGGAAGTGACACAGAGATGTGGTCCATCTCAATATATAATGCACAAAACTGCTCAAATCAAATGAATTCAAGTCACTTTTATCACCCTTTTTTGCTTCACAGAGAGGATATACAGTACAGCACTGCAACTACAGCAGTGATTGTGGCCTGATATACTGTAAAAGGCAAAAACACGTTACTGCTAAGCCTATCCTGAAAATTTACGAGATGTGTCAGGTGCCTTTTCTTTCCATTTTTAAACCAAAGCTATCTAAATGAAGAATGTACTGGAAAGCCGTTTGACTTTATAAAAGACTGTGAAGATCTCATGACCCCCACATGTGCTGTGTTAAAGATGCTGTATAGGCACAGGCAATTTGTTGACCAGATTTAGCAAGACTTCTGAAGCCATGCTACGAAGGAGTCCAATTACAGCAACACAGGCCAGGGTGTGAGACAACTATGTGGTACCTACAGTACATGATAACAGAAGAGAAGGTCAAAAGTATTAGTTAATTATACTCACTAAAACACAATGACTGGAATTTTCTTATCTGACTGTTAAAACGCTTCCTGGATTGTTTATGTTTGTGGGTTGCTTTGAACATCAGAATGGAAACTATTTAAAAAGACATATATGGAATTTTTTCATCTGAGGTCAGGAAACTTGCCTCTGTGGAACAGCATCCAATGTACTGTACCATCTAATGAGATGCATATTTTTAGTTGTAATTATTTTCTGGGAAAGCTGAATTGCAGACAAATTTGAACATTAAAAAGGCTTTTATTAAATACTCAGTCTTTTTTTACATATTCTACATGACAATGTATAATTGCGACTTCGTATTTTGTTCTGAACCTCAACAAAGCAGCTACATTATAAAGAGAAAAACAAGAGTTCAACAAATCAAACAGGTAACAAATTATCTCCTCGAATTGTGAGTGAGGATAATAATGTAATAACAAGTAAACGGCATTAAAGGTCATACTGCTAGGGATTAAGAAACCATAAAAGGATGAGAAAGCAGACAATTACGGAATGGCCAGAACTGCGACATTATAAACAATCTCACCTTTAATGCAAAACATTGTATATGCTGTACATAAATGTGCTTCCTTCATGAGCTAGTCATCCTCACTATCTCCCAAAAATGGCACTTATTAAGTTAAGTCTAAGAAATATGTCAACTGGCTGTCAAGCTAAAACTTATTCACAGTTCTGTATGTTCCAAATTTAGTGAACATTCCTTCATCCTCTCAAACAATTGTCATTTGAGGACTCAATAGAGGCCGGTGGAACTGTGGAGACAGACAAGCTATTTTTTAGTTTAGTTCATTCACAAAAAAATACTTTATTAACACATCCTGGGTTGAGTTCTGTAACTTTCAAATAATCACAGTTTAACACAACTGTATGTGTGATGCTTAAATTGTTCAATTTCACTAATAGAGACACCACAAATATTTATCTGCTGCTGTAAGATGCAGAAAAAATTAAAATACTTTAAATTTTGAGAAGTCACTTTGAAAAGACTGTCCTCATGTACTCCTTACACATTAGTCTACATGCATATGATATAAAACTCATGAAAGCTTCTGCTCTGGAATCAGACTCATACGTCAGATAATTACCAATCAACTGTTCCCATGGTAATGCAGTTTATTCAACTAGTTTTTCCTTGAACACAGTAGGGACATCTTGATTTGGGAAACATGGAGAAACCCACCACATTATTAGTATAACTAATCTATTTCAAAATCTGTTCAAAGCAAACACACAACACTTAGAAAAACCTGAGAGGCTAAAAAATATACATAATACAATCTAACCAAAGTAAAAAAACTTGTCCTCTCACACAGCTGCAAGACAGCCTTTGTCCAGTGGCAAAGCCATTACCACAGTGACAATAAAAATGTTCTGCGTAAAACGGAGATAGTTTAACCTTTAATTAACATAATGACTAGTGTGGGAAGGCCTTGGTCACAGTTTAGCTCAAAGCAGGATGAAGTAAGCCTTCTGTGCCTAGCAATTTCCATAAAGGGCAATGAGACTCATGCAACAAACTAGACCAATCACTACACTTCCATGATTTTGTTCATTGTCAGGTCCGCTTCTCATCCTGATTTTGTGCTCGCCGGCAGCCTTTTTTCACCTGCTTGGACGTGCACCTCCGTGAGGCAACAGGTGAGGGAAAGACAGCTGCCAGCAATTTAGGACCAGATCCTAGCCATGAAACGTTCGAAAAACGAACATCAAATCTGATACCCCCACCCCCGCCAGCACACGGTGAACAGCACACCACCATTACAGCCTGAAAAGCTTCATTGTTGATGTAGCAAATTTCGTCTGGCACCAGTAGTAAGCGTTTTATAAGGTGTTCATGTTAATTAGCTATAATCCCCCAAAGCAGAGTGACAAACATATAATACTCCCTCTAAAGATCCATGCAAAAAGTCAGTGCCTAGTGATAATTAACTCTTGTCTTTCAGAACTCCACACCTTGACTGCCTGACACCTTCAAACACATACCCAATGCTTGGGAAATCAGGAACCATTCTAGCTGTGAACTCCTGATTTAAAACGTGGGGCCAGACAAGAGGCCGACATGTCCTCATTGCACTGTCTGTTAAGCAGACAGGCCTTGTGTTCTGTCTTTGCATGGCTAGTGCAAAGATCTTCCATGTGCGTCTGGCATATACTGGCAGAAGCCACCCTCAGAGAAGCCTTATAATGCAGGATGTCATTTTTGAGAGGGAAAAAAAGACTGTTCGTGGTAACTATACGCTGGCGCAGATCTGTTCAACTCCAGAACAGTCAGAATCAAACTATCACAACCTTCCCAAGTCTAAACCAGTTACTGTAGTAGACAAGAACGCCAGTAGACATATGTAAAATGTAGTAGTTCAGGTGGGTAGCTGTGTCAGCATGCGTAGGCTGCAAAGGAACAAGTAATAGGTTTATTCCATGCTGGGGAAAAAAAGAAGAAAGAAAACACAAATGTGTCTACTTGAAGGATTCACTCTTACAGGTTGGGATCTTGGAATGGGCAGAAATCCTGCAAAAGAGAATTGTCTGCTGTCTGCATAGAGGCTAAACACATAAGCATCAGGAGGGCATCGAGCTACTAATCTCATTCATATCTTGCATGTTTTCAACCCAAGAACATGCTCCTTCAAAACGCGCATTGTATAAATGCAGAAATCGTGTGGGTATACGACCCAGCTGAGTCGTTACGTTTATTAATTGGAATCCTTGGCATTTTATAGATTCAAAGATCTAAGCAACTCAATTGCGTTTCCTTGCTGTTCATCGAGCAGAGTAATGTGGGGTTCAAGCCTTTTTCAGGTACATGGTCGTGATCTCCGTTTTAAAACACGACATCGTAATTTTACCCTCACGATTCATGATGAGTGGAGTAAGCTACTTATAAATGTTCGCAGTCCTCACCTTTACCACAATATACAGTACCGTAGGTCGTGCGTTAAACATGAGAGTGGTGGTGCAAAGGTGCAAAGTTTAAAAATAAATAAATCTCACCAAAGTCTCAAAATAGGCTAACCCGAAACTCACCCCCAATGTACCATGTGTCAAAACAGCGGGATTTTTTTTTACCAAGACAGGCAGAAAACGCAGTGTTTTCAGACAAGCCAGCAGCTTGTCTAAAATGTTTCGGTTGTTTTTCGGTAGAAAACCAAACTGCTTGCTCTCGCTTCTCAAGATAACCTTTAAGCGCGTACTGCCACCCTGGCACTTGGCACAACACCAGTCCATAAAAATAAAAACACTTTTATATGACTGTACGTGTACGAAATGTTTAAAACAATCCCATTCAAAGCGGCTCACAACACCCAGCGCCGCGCGTTAGTGCAGTAAACATTTGCTACCAGTTCTGTTACATTTTAACAAGTTACACACAGCTCATAGAAAACAATAACCGGACTAACTGAAGAAAAAACAACATACCCTAAACAGCATGGTGCAGGAAGCGGAAGTTATTAAAAGTATACGACAGCCAAGTAGTATTTCTACTTTGATTTATATTTAGAAACTTGCTTGCGTAGCGACGAGCCGTGATTTACCTTAATTGTCTGTTCTCTTTTTCTTGTTTGTTTGTTTTTTTTTTTAGATTTTACCTGAAACCCCTGCCAATCGAAACTGGAAGCAGTCGGGATTACCTTGTGAATGCGGCTCCCGTTCGTCCATGCAACTTGTTCACTTTTCCACCCGCTCTGGTGTCTCTGGCCAGCTTGTGGGAAGGACTCGCTGACGTGAAAAGATTCTCTAGAGGGGTGAATAAGAGGAACTGTGGAGAACAAGGAAGAGCCCTTTGAAAAGGACGGGGATTGTGTTTCTCCTCTTCTTCTCGTGTGACGTGTCTAATCCCCGAACTAAAGAATAGCGCTTTTCCCCCACATTCCTTGGCATTAAATGAAAAACACCTGGATTTATTGAACTGTATCGTTCTAACTTGCAAACCCATTCACTAAATGTACTGTATTTCACTTTTTCTCATCTTAAAATGGGGCATGTATTTCCATTTCTTCGTGCTTTCAACAGTTGTATTGTTATTATTATTATTATCTGATAATGGACATTTAAGACTTTTCCATTTGTAATTAGGAAAAAAAAATATATGTAATATAACTCAATACTTAACTTGCCGGTTTCTAGAGATTTCTCTATTGCACTTATAGCACAATACAACATATACAGTATAACTCAAAAAAATGTTTTAACTAAATCGTACCATTAACATTCGTATAATACGAATGTAATGTTTTAAATACACTATTCTCGTAATTCCTATTCATGATAAGTATTTCAATTATATATTTTAAATCCACAATGAAAAAACTTTTTGGGACAATCAGACTTCATTTTCACTGTTGTCACACCTTAAGTATATTCAGGGAACCGTTTTTGGGGGCAATATTTACAGTACAACTGTTGCATACAATAACTATGCAGAAAACGTGCACATTAACGATTAACATCTTAAAAAAACATTTTGAGCATAAATGTAGATCTTAGTGGCGCAGTGATTGGTATTGCTCGGGTCCAATTTCTGGTATCAGCGTGGAGTTTGTATGAGCTCTTCGTGTATGCATGGGTTATCTCCGGGTGCCACGGTTTCCTCCCACAATCCAAAAATATATTGCTAGGTTAATTAGCATCTAGAAAACTGGCCCTGGGGTGAGTGTGTGCGTGTTTGTGTGCGCCCTGTGATGGACTGGCTGGAGTCCCGTCTTGCACCCATTGCTGGTCGAGATAGGCTCTGGCTCTTCAGCGGCCCTGAACTGGAAAAAGCGATTAGGAAAACTGGATGCAAATATTTTCAGGTGTCAAATGAAGTCCATGCTCAGAAACAATTATATTTGTTGACGTTGAAAATCTCTGTATTTCACATTGGGTGATTTTTCCTACATTAACTAGCACATTAATCATTTCCTGCCTTGTTGGTGTTTAAAAATAACACATTTCAACCCTTGCTCATGTGCACCAGTTCGTCATACCTGGCAGAGAACCACTGGGAACAATTTACAGCAATTAAATAAACAGCACTAAATTCAACTATTCAACACAGAAAAGCCATTTTCTACATTTTAAATCTTCATCACCACTGTGTAGACTAAGCCATAGTTAAAACATCGGAAAGAGAATTCCCCCCCGAGTAAATCATAAAAAAGGGAAGTGATCATTGTAATATTTGCTGAACAAGTCCGAAGAAAAGTAATGTGCATTACGAGCAATTCCTTGCAATATTACAGCTTTTTAGCAATGCTTTATTTTTAGAATAACTCAGAGCGATTGCTGCTATCTCTATGACATTCACTGCAAAGTTCTTCTTCATTTTTGCAGATATCAAATTTCCTGGCTCTTGCATATTTCTGTTTCACCGGCAGTTGACATCAGCGTTTCGAGCATTGCTTCATAAGTAAATTGTATCATATCTCTCCGTTAAATGAGAATGGATTTACCATTTACAAAACTATTTATCTCGGTTAAGAGGTCTGAAAGCTGCTGGAAGATAAGATGTGTCATGTCTGACCTTTCAGTCTCACAAGGTGGAAGAGGATTAAAAGCTTTAATTTGGTTGCATTTTATTTTCATTTAATACATTAGGTCCTATGAACACAATCAAGATATTTAAAAGAAGTGTTGTCTCCCTTCAGAAACATAATTTAGGCGTTAGAAAAACAGGCATCTGTAAAAAAAAAAGTTTAGTACAATTGTAGCACATCTAAAAATGCATGCGGTGTAGGTAAAAATTATGTTATCACCTGAGTATACCTAAACTCTTCATTACAAGGATAACTTAATAAAATATTGGTGAACATTACTGTTATCTCCCATTCAGCCACATGTGTAGCATTTTCACAGTTTTGTCTCTTTACCCTACAGCAGTTCAGTGGCTTTAAGGTCAGTAGGTCAGGAGATCAATGAGATCAGTGCATCCATTTTAGAACTCCTTCATTTTTTTCTTGTCTAATGAATGCTGCATTTGCAAACACAACCTTGTCGATAAAGATCACCAACATAATGCTTTCTTCAGGGCTTTAAATGATGCTGGAGAGTAGAATGATATTATGCTTTGACTGTATCTCCTATTCGTATACCAGAACACAAATAGCAAGTCTTCTCTTTGAGCCTCAGAGCTAAATTTCTGTTTTGCTGTTCCCTTGTAGAACCTTAAAGAAAGTAAAGAGAGTTCAATTCATCGTACCTTTTCAAAACCCAGATAGGAAATATGTCTGACATCAGGGGTTTCACACTATAATGATGTTTTAAAGACTAAAATGGAAGCAACTAAACATATCTCTAAAGCTCATGGATCCACTCCTTTTCATGTCTATTACCTTTACAGTTAATACTGCTTTAAGGATGCTATCATTATAAGGTGCTCCTTGATCATTCAGATGTATTTTTATGAGATTAGTAATGAGCTGAAGGTGATGATTTGTCGGTGTGTTTCAGAGATCTATGGATTTCCTTGGATTACTATGGATTTCAAAATCTGAATTTAATGGATTTACACTAGGTGCATGAATTCAATCCCACCAAAACCATTAATGACAGTGAATAATCTGTTGAAATCTCTTCACTGGGCATGAAATGAATGGATAGACATTATATGTAGTGCCGTTGTTTTATTATATCTGACAGTTTTTACCAAATTTGTAGAATTCATTGTACATTGTGTAGAACATACTTTGCACATTATTGAAAACTTATTTATAATGGAAGTATATTTCAGAACTTGTTAAGAATAATTTTTCCTTACAATGAAAGAGAAATGAGAGAAAGACATGAATCCAAACATCAGATTTTCTGACAGCCAGCATCCATGCCAGTGCTTTACTATCACTATCAGTGTTGCACATGAGGACTGCGCAGTCGCCAGAGAATTTACCAGAGAAACACTAAACTGTTGAACATAATCATCATAGTAATGCTGTACACTATTGAACATGACCATTCATTTCAGAGGAACAGTGTACCCTGTTGGACATGATCACTGGAGAATGACTGTATATTGTTGGAAACAACTACTATGAGAACAGTGTACTCTATTGGCCATGATCACCAGAGAAACGGTGTAGTGTTGGACATACTGTAATAACCAGGGGAACAATGTACTCTATTGGACGTGATCACTGAAGTATCATTGTACTCTGGTGGACATGAGCATTGTACAGTTAGAAAAGGTTACTAGAGGAATGCTGTAAGCTGTTGAACACAGTCATTACAGGAATGCGGGATACTGTTGATCTTGACTGTTAATTTCTAAGGAATGATGTACTCTGTTACATGTTACACGTGATCACCAATAGAACCAGTGGAATATTGGAAGAGGAAGATTGTACACAGTTAGACGCGATCACCAGAGAAACTGTGCTTTACTGGACATGATCACCTGATGGACACTATACTCTTGGGGATCAGTTTACGGGGAAAACCGTACTTTGTCACACATTTGTCACCCATGAAATGCTGTGCTCTCCTAGATGTGATCACCAGAAAATAACATCTTATGGCAATCAACAGCAGTGGAGAAAGGTACACACAGGTTGATAAGATTCTTCTCATGTGTCCTCCACATTAAATCAGAGTGCCTACAATTCAATCAGTGTGTCTTCAATTAACTTAAAATGTCTCAAATCCAAAATGATGCATTTCAGTTTTTCTGTTTCAAACAGAATATGACTGCCACATTACGAAGCTTACAAGTGTCCCAGATAATGATGGAAACAGGAAAATGTTTTTTTTTAATGTACTACACAGGACATTTTATATACATATGCAATACAGCTTATATACATATTCATGTCAAGAATTATTGACTGAAAGCCCATTGAACCCTATTAACCACCTGCGAACAAAATATTTCCTCGTGTTTTTTATGAGAACTGTAATGTGTTGACAGACATTGTCACCTGTAAATTTTGTACAGGTACATATTTATCTGTGACACAGAGGAAAAAAAGCAGCCTGACCACAACCCCGCTACAGTGCTACAGGATGAACGTGACAGGAAAGCAGGAAAGAAAGTTTTACCAATGTGAGAAGTTTCTGAGAAATTATGACTGTGCGAATGAAAACGCACAGTAATACAAAGCTGAAATTCAGTCACAGAAGGGATTGTCTGTGTGGGTGTCCTAGCACACAAGCAAACAAAGGAAGCTACTTAAATGACAACAGTGAGCAGCAAAACAGGATTTATACTACTGGTATTTCTTCTTTATATTTTTTTTCTGCAATTTAAAAGTATATGATGGTTAATCCAGTCTTTGTGTGTGAGTCAGTAAAATTAACCGGGTAATGTTTTGACAATGCATGTATATGTGTGTGTATAGTGCATATATATGTGGCCCTTATATCCTTCCGCTTTTTAAATCTAATCTATTTTACACATACATCAGTCATTTCTGACTAAGTGAGATCAAATACTGACACCCAACATTCAGCAAACTCCTACACACATTTGAACATCACCAGCTTGTGCTTGCTTTCAGAAGGAAGCGTGAGAAACTGAAACTCCAGCAAATATATTAAAAAAAATTGTTTCATTCTAAGGCCCTCTGCTGTATCATAATCATTTAGCTTTACCTCAGATGCACAGTTACTGCAGTTTATGCTTCTACTGTGTACAGAGGTACTACCTATAACCTGTATTTGTAAACGCAGTATCTACACTATATATGTGCTATACTAATTATACAGTATATACTGTACACCACACGTCTTGAATGACTGTCATAAGAGTTATGTCAGTGGCTTCTGAATAACAATTGGAAAGCTCCTGGGGATTTATTGATCTTGACTGTTTCTAGTAGCCCTCTGCATCTTCTGTGCTAATACTATTACAGAACTTTGTATACTGTACCTCTCCTTCCGAGGTATGGTGTTGACATATTTTTACTTTGTGAACACCTGAGTGAAGCACTGCTTTCATATACATGTATGAGTCATCAGCTTTTCTCCGGTCTGTTCTGTCACACTGGAAGGCTACAAAGCACAACCTTGGGGCTTTAAATCAGGAGGCTAGTCTTTTCATATGGTGGGTTTGTGTAGATGCAGACGTTTAAAAAGAGTGTCGAGCCAAAACACACTGCACTAATGCACTGAATGGGATAGGTCAGACTTAAGTCTGTCACAGACAGTCACTGAGTATGCTGTTTAAGAGCCAAAGAGTGGAACAAGACTCAACAGTGTAAAGTCAGATGGCTATGGTAATGTTCAAAGCCCCTGTGCCAGGGGATCACACTTCAGCTTGTATGCTCATGATTGTAGTAGGATATCAGGCTGACCGGGCTACTATTATGTCAGTGAGCCTTTCAGATGAGATAACTTTTGAATAGCAGTTTGGTACACATGATCCGATATACAGTAGGTAAAAGCAAGTGCATGTCAGGAATGAGAACAATGATTATGCATGGCTCCTCACACTACACAAGGGTAAACCAGGTGTCAGCGAGTTTGGCAGCGCTAGAAAAGAAGCTCAGGGTTTGAGTACTTGGCCTGCTTTTGACAGTGAACTATTTGCTCTATATGAGCTTGTGTTCCTTACATGACTTATACATGAAGAGGAAATTTCCCCCATTTATTCAAGCAAGGAAGGGGGATTCCAAAAAGGAAGGGAATTAAGCAAAAAAGGAACGTTTTGTTTCAGGTATGTAATCTATGTACATGTTAAAGAAAGTGTGACTGTGACCACTTCTTAAAATCCATATACCTGTACCAGCAGCTATATCACCCTGCAACTCACAACAGGCAACCCACTGAAGCTAAGCAGGTGTGAGCCTGGTCAGTACCTGGATGGGAGACCTCCTGGGAAAAACTAAGGTTGCTGCTGGTGGAGGTGTTAGTGGAGCCAGCAGGGGGCACTCACCCTGCGGTCTGGGTGGGTCCTAATGCTCCAGTATAGTGACAGGGACACTATACTGTAAACAGGTGCCGTCCTTCGGATGAGATGTAAAACTGAGGTCCTGAATCTCCGTGGTCATCCTAGGGTGTTTCCCGGTATCCTTGCCAAATTTCCCATTGGCCCTTACCAATCATGGCCTCCTAATAATCCCCATCTATGAACTGGCTTCATCACTCTGCTCTCCTCCCCACTGATAGCTGATGTGTGGTGAGCTTTTCAGGTGGATGCTGCACACTGGTGGTGGTGGAGGGGAGTCCCCATTACCTGTAAACCGCTTTGAGTGGAGTGTCCAGGAAAGCACTATATAAGTGTAAGCAATTATACCTAAATGTATCTATACTATATGCTCAAAATCAATTAACATTTTTTAATCAAGTCCAGTATCCAACAGAATACTATGCCTCCCCATAACCTAAACATAATAGAAAAAGTAATTTTCATGAATAAGTACTGTATTATAACTGGGATTTAACTATGTTAAATCAGTTAAACTATGTGTGGTGGACAGTATAAGGACTGCGGGTTGTGGTCCCATTGTGTCATATTACACCCAATCCAGGATATAATCCATTTTGCCACAACCTTTAGCAGAAGCAGCTTTCTGATAATGAATGGATAGACAACTTGTGACACAATATAATTAGAAATATGTCATGGTAATGTACAGTACTCTGAAGCCTTTCCACCATCTTCCAGCCATTTTAAAAAACAACAACAACAACAACAGCTGTCAATCTATGTCATTTCTTTGCAGTCCAGAGAGACAGAAGAGATTTTTTTTCTGAATCGCTTTCCACAATTTGAAAACAGAAAGGAGTTGAGTACTTAATGTCATAGAGCCCAAAAATAATCATATCATTTGCCCATTTTCAGTCTGGATTTCCTCAGTAAATAACTAACATGAACTTCTCCTTCTGTATTCCGCTGAAACGGATTTGTTTAAGTGTTTAAGTGCCTTAAGCCTCTGTCCCTAAACCCTGTTGTGGGACAGTGATTTGGATATCATTTTGCTAGTCAGTGGGCCAAATAGATTAACTGACAGCAACAGTACTTTGTGTTTATCAGTCACTGTAATGCTTTCTGTTTTATCATTGTATTATATTGCAGGTATTGTATTGTATTATTGTAATCGGTTTTGCCCAATTGCTTTTAGCTTAAAATGTAATGTACTATAGGTCTTACAGAGAAATAAAATACATTATGCATTTGGTTCTTTGGTTTCTCACAAGTGGCACCAAGTCTTTCAAACTGTACTTCCTCTGATTTGATCTTCACCTGTACTCTTTGCTGTTGTTTTGGATTACAAGTGTCTGTCACATATGAGCAGACAGGATACAGCATTGCATGCCATTCACATTTTAAAAGAATTACATGGTAAAGATTTTAAATGCTTACTATAGAAAAGATTCAGGTAATAATGCATTTTTTTACATTAACATAAAGTAGTTCATAAATAGATATTACTATAACCATTTCAATCCTTTCAGTGCAAACGCACTGTAAGCTGACATGGCTAACTTACCAGAGCCCTACAGAATTCGTGGACAGAGGTGCTTCAGATCCATTTCTTCTGCATCATGTGTTAGATGATGATGGTGATGGGTAAGCCTGTACTATCTGTGTTTACTCACAGCAGAGCAATGCAGCGATCTGTGGCAGACATGGAAGAATGTCACTGCTTCACTATAGTTCTAACTACAACAAAATCAATTGCTTATTTAAAACCAACAAGTTGATTTTGCTACACAACCTAGTAGAGTAAACTGCAGGGAATTAAGATTCAACACATATGAAAACAGCTGTATGTTTATATGAGCTTTTGTTAAACTGAATTTTAGAAGGATTTTAACATTATACTCTGATGACCGTAATTCTTCTACTTCTGTTATTAAAAATGGGCACATTTTTGTTATTAAATTAACTGAAACACATAAATGCAATTTGAAAGTACCTAGACATTTTAAGAAGTTAATAGTGGCCAATTAATTAGTCTCAGTTTCCTTTCAATTATAAAATCTTTATTTTTCTAGGACCATAATATTTGATACAATGACTTACATGTACTTTTTATAAATTTGAGGAATAAAACCTAAATTGCCACATATACCACATAAACTAGTTTTAAATTCTGTTACACATTAAGCATGATAAGCTTAAAAATTAAAAGTGCAGCCCTGAAAGAAAAGGAAAATTACAGAAGTCACAGGTTTGCTGAACTTTAACTGACCCAGCATCTTCTGTATATGGTAGTAACACTGTCCCCTGGTGGAGAGGGGAAGGATGACAATAATTTGGGATTAAAGTAACCTGAAGAATTGATAATAGCTGTGACAATACCAGAAACCCTCTCTGTGCAGCACCACAGCTACACCTTCAGACAAAGATCCGTTTTGTTTCATCTTTGACTCCTGACTGTTCAAATTAAAGTGCAGATACAGAGGAAAAAGTCTTTATACTGGAATTTATCCAGTGCACTTTCTAATTAAAAGGCAAGTGAAAAACCTCAGCATAAACAAACATTACTGTTGAACGTATAAACTACCTTGCTCTGAACACATAAACCCACGATGGATGTGACACACTGGGGGATTTGTGGAATACTTCACCTTCACAGAAACTACTGATATAATAGCTTCATAACACTATGCAGTACTATGTCAGGCTTTGCATCTGGAAATAATCTGGATTCTTCTGTTGAAACACCAGGACCCTGCCTTAGAATGTGAATTCTTCCCAGTTTCACCGTTTAGAGGTTAACGTCAAGGTAGAGGACACTCTGAAGATCTGTGGCAGCATGTTGCTCAGCTGGTAAAACATTTCCTCAGAGATGCTCTGTTAACAGAGAAAATTAAAGAGTGCAAAGATCACTTTCATGAAAAGGTCAGTATCTGGTATTCTGATGTAAAAGATAGCAAATGTCTGGCATTTCAGCACAATCAAAACCGATGATCCACTATCTTCACATACAGCAGCTACAGAATGTTTCAAGAAACTTTTTAATCAGAACATCGCTTCAAAAGGACTACTTTTTCCTTTGTAGTTTTATATAAGGATATTTTTGGGAGCTTGGCTTAAGATGACAATACAAAAAAAATGCAATGAAATGTGACAATAATATACATTTTAAATTGTACACTTTTCATTACAAGAAAATGTTAGCAAATGGAAAAATCTATATCTGGATTGAGTTATTCATGAATTCATGCATAAAACACCAAAGGAACAGCATACTGTGGGTACAGTCATAACGTACTGTTTTGCAGTGAACCTAGAAAAGAGCCCATTTACCATGACTATAACTGGTGAGCCACAGCCAATCACAAGTTAAAACTTAAGATAATTGTTCTTCTTATTAACACAGTATATATGAGATTAATTTATATACTGTATATATATGGTGCTGGGGTAACACATGAAACAATCGTGCTTTGCAGTTTCTATTTCCAACGCTGTCAGAAAGCAAAGCTACAGTCACCCAATGCTGGTAAGGACTCTTACTGGCCTTGGCCCTGAACGCATCACCATGCTAAATCATACTTTGCAGACGCCTGCTCTAAATACTCCTGAAACAGCTCCAGTCAAATGTGATTTAAAGCCCCACAATCCCAGTATGATGCTGTGAAGTCATGCTCAAAATTTCATAGTCAATCTATTATTCACATTTAATGACTAATCATAAATAAATAAAACTACACTTAAGAAACACCCACAGTACACTAAAACACAAAAACACCACTGAGATTAGTTATTAATAAAGCATTCTAATCATAATATGTGGGCTGTGGATGTTATCATCTATGTTGCTTTTTTCTTACATACCTCTAGATTGATATGGGTACTTATATGTTATTGCACACCACTGAATAGCAGTTTTTAAATTTCTCTAATAATGTGAGTAACATTTGCTTGTTGCAACGTGCTCAAAGTACTTTCAGCATTGGAAGTAGGACTATTTTCATGGTTTCAAATGTATATTGAGAATGTAAATAAGAACTGAAAATATATTTGAATTTCTTTAGAAATGCTCTTTTTTCTCAGAAATAAAACATCATGACTTCCCTCTGAACTCCAATAGCCCTCCCTTTTTTTGGTTCATAAGAATATAGTGTTTGGTAAGGATCACAACAAGGCCAGATCCAAAAGTGGCAATAATGCCCTAATACTGTATTTCTCAAAGAGTACAAGGGCTTCTGGTTCCTATTACAGGAATCTATTCACAGCCTGTTGTTGTCCTGCAAATTCAGGAACAGCTGGTAGGAAACTCAAATGCAAATGTATACAAAACTCCCAGGGGTGGATTTTGGGAAATGTTAGTATAAATCTAACTTCTCCCGAATAACTGTTGACCTTGCTTTTAATGTGTAGCAGTTTTACTGTTTAAAGTCTGTGGGTTGTGTTTATTAAAAAATGTTTCACTTAAAAAAGGATGATAAAATTATGAGTGGCATTTAACATGTTAAATGTTAGATTACACCAATAGTCACATACTCCAGTTAATCATTGTAAAAAATGTGATTTGTGGATGCACACACTGGACACATCTTACAAAGCTTACACAATCTCACAAACCTGAATTTTATCCAAAATGAATTCCAATTAACCTGAATTTTAATTTGAGTGGAAAGAGCTATTTAAATACAATTTATGATGAGAATGATCAGCACCAAACAGAGACTGAGAAGCACTATAAAATTAAAAGCCTAACCTGAAATACAGGTTAAATTGTATTTTGTCCATAAAGCTTGCTCATGTCATTGAACATCAAATGTTTAAGTTTACAGTTAGGAGAATACTTTTTGTATTCTTGTAAGAGTATGGATAAAAAACATCTAAATGTTACTGTTACTGTTCAGCAATTAAAACATCAAAAATCACACTTGAAAACTGATTTTTATAGTCAAAAAACACTATAAAAATGCAAATTAAAACCTGAAGAAGGCTTCACGGACGAAACACTGTGTGTTTTCTTCTCTTTTCAGCATGGAATAAACCTATTACTTGTTCCTTTGCAGCCTACGCATGCTGACACAGCTACCCATCTGAACTATTAAAACCTACATTTAATTCAGTGTAAGTTATTATTAAAATTGTTACAGTTTAAACTATGAAGGCTTTCATTTTAATCCAACTACCTGGATCAGAATACGATCCCATTAAGCATCAATGCATAGCAGTATTTTGCGAAAAACAATATACTCATTAAAGACAAAAGTCAGAATGACATTCCCCTTGCATGCCAGAAAGGCAGTAAAAAATGTGACAATGTGCAAAATATGTACTATCCATTCTGACTGGTATATACTGTAACTTTCAGACTTGCACTGTTATAGTATTACAGCTTCTTCATTGTAAAATGTGTTACATTTGATCAAACGGCATACCTGAGGAACAAGAAACTGCACAGTCCGTGAGATTCCTCCATCCCATGATGCCATCTCCATCATAAAGCCTGAAATGGCAAATGTACATCATGATAAAATTTGCTTATTTTTCTCATGAGTTCAGTCCAATCAATACTCTAATCATAACACATCTCCCTGTAACACTAAACTTTCAATACATCTCTGAATAAGGACATTTGTTTCAAAAAAGTAAATGAAAAACACATCCTTAATCAGCTCTTGAGCCAGTTTACAACCCCAGTGTGATGCTTTCTTGTTCATAAAAACAAGTGTAAACCCAGCAAGGAAAATTATTTAATGACTATACCTGAAAGTATCTGTGCATGGTTTTCTATAAGACATGAAACCCCCCAGCCATATTTTTCTTACAATATTAAACAAAGTCTTAGCTTAGAGTCCAATTTGTAGACACCTGTATTCATGTTACTTGCAGATAAAACAAATTTAAATTTAAACTGTAATTTTATGGCAAATACTCTGAACAAAATACTCATGACTTGAAAATCATGTTGTACCATTTTGTCCAGGACACTTAATTCCACAGAATACTGAAAGACAAGTTGAAAGGTCGAGAAGGGTAATTCTAGCGTTTAAGCATTTGGTTTATGGCGGTTTTGCAGATTTAAGCAAAAAAAGAAGATAAACCTGTCACAAGTTAGATGTCACAGAAAATCTCATTATAAAAACATTTACCTCATGATGACATGACACGATTACCTGATGGTTAAGCTAAGCATTGCATTCTGTTAACAAGATGAAACACAAGAGAAAGCACATTCTGTCCTCAGAACGCAGCCAATGCAAATTCATGTGATACTCACCTTTCACACATTTGAATACTAACTCTGCACGTTTGAGGCACCAAGGTATGGTCATCTCCTGTGAGGGGAAATGACACACATCAAAGAAAGTGCCATTAACTAGCATGACAAGTGAAAACCTCTTCCTCTGTTTATTTTCTCCTTGCATCACATCCTCTAACAATGAGTAATACTGTACTGTAACAGCTGTGTATATGTTAGTTTGAAAGCAATAATAATAAATGAAAACACTGCCGGAAGACACCACCTACTTTCATCATTTATCTGCCCACTTGGACTTAAGACATGTCTGTCGTGATAATGAAGAACAGGGATCCGTGTGGTTTTAGACTGGTAATAATGGGTTTTGGCCAAAAGAAATCTGAAACTCAGCTGACTTAAAATATCGTTCCACCATCAACTCTTAAACACAACATCCGCAAACTAAGAATGAAACCAAGCTTAAAATAATTTTTGGCAAAAAAAAAAGACAAGCGGTAGAGACCTCTCTTCCTTCTCTGGAGAACCCTTTAGTTCAGACAGGGGGAAAAATCTAAGTGCCCAGAGTGTATGTGAAACTGTTATTAATGCATGTACACAGTCTGAATCATGACCCACCTCCTAGTACTGAAAAAAAGCTTGCATGTCCAACAATCATAATTTTCAATATCAGCAGCCAATCTACTTGGTTCTGCTTTTGTCTTGGTACATTTCTTGTTGTCTCTCATCTCCATATGATATAAAAGATATGCATGATAAATAGAGATCAGAGAAATGCAAGAGTGATATAAGGACTATAATGTGAGATTGCATGTGTGGGTTCGAAATCGATTTCTACCTTAGAAGAACAAAACAGCATTTATGGGAAAACTTTTAATAAGAGAAGTACAATGAATGTCCGCAGTAGCACATCTAGATGAAAAAATCTTTAGATCTTTCTTGAAACATAACACAGACACACCAGGTCAGGGAGCATCTACATTTGAGAACAGTGGGCATTTGTTTATAGAAACAGTCAAGGGAATTCAGGAAGAAATGCAAAAATGTAGACCCTGTGAAAGGGACAATTCAAACATTCAAGCAGGTTCTCAAAAAGACCCCTGGACCACCAAGTTCCTAATAGCAAAATGAACTAGACATGGCTGAACCTACCGTATCTCGCCGTATCTCGCCTATATTCAGAATGTCATGTATAGCTGTCATTAGATAAAAGCCATATGCTTTCATTGTCTTCATTTAGTTATTGGACTACCATTTTAATACAAACAGACACACATCTTAGAATTATAGCTGTTCTTTAAATGCATATTTTATACCAACTTCTTCAATTGGGTTTGGTGAAGAAATCTCGGTAATGTACTTTGCACAAACATACAGCGACAAAACTACCCACCTGAAACTTAAACCCCTGACCACACAGTTAGTCCCAATTCCAAGGCACGACTCCACACTTCTGTCACCTTCTGTGGTAATATAGCACTAGAGCTGTTAAGTGCTAAAATCTTCCAGAGTGAAAAACTGTAAGTCAATTTAACCACAGAGCAGAAATATACTGTGAGCACTTGAGCCCACAGGAGCACGTAGCTACGCCGAGTGTTAGACTTCAATGTTGATAAATACTAACACTTAAAGGCCATCAGGCAAGCGAACAATGGGCATAAAGAAAGTTTTAGCAATATGAGCTTCCTCTACAAAAGTATATGTACATTAATACTTTCTTAAATATCTAAAGAACTAATTGTGACTATTTTGTAACAGGGCAAAATAAATAATAGGATTAGCAATAGGAGTGCACTCTGTTGCCTTCATAATCAGTTTATGATCCTTTTAATGTTTTGTTTATGTTTTAATTTTTTCAAAGAAATGCAGTGATACCATGAATTTTTTTCCAGTTTAATTTGTAACATGTTGCTGCTACACTTTTAAGATTGGTATTTAATTATGTGAATAAAGTATTTTGAATTTCATTAAATTGTTACTTAGATGTGTCCCAGCAAATCCTGGCTAAGCAAATGGCAGCGTAATCTATGAACAGGCTTTCAGGACATACCTTCGAGGTTTGTATCACAGAATATATGTCTGTGTATCATGAATACCATCAGCTAAAGCCTTCAGTTTATCAAACCGTCCACGATTGGTTAGCATACCACTATACTCATTTACCCCACATCCCAGTTGGAAAGGTCAATAAAAATTAAAAAAAAGAAGTTTGTGACTTCCAAGTAGGTGTGGTGTTTGATATCCTCCATAAGGAAATGCTTTTGCTCTCCACAGCACACACTGCATTTCAGCCGGTATTGTGTAACCGAAACAACGTAGATTGAGACAAGGCGATAAAATTAGAAGCATCAGATGTACAGAAAACACATTCATGTGGAGAATCTACCGCAAGGGAAAGAGTTCCTGTCAGCTGGCCAGTTAACCATTGTTTATTTGTAGGTGGCACCAGGCTCAATGTATTTTTTTGTGGAATCAAAGGTCAGATGCATTAATGGTTTCTTTGTCTTTTGATTTGTTTTTTCTTCAGCAAAGTAATTGAGGTCGCAGGTTCAAGAGCTTTAAACTCATGTTGTGAAATCTTACAGGCAACGTAACGGTGGCGTATGTCAGCCACATAACATGTAGGTGACTATTTAATAGGATGATACTCTCTTACCCTAAACAATTCCAAACGATTTTCTTTTTTTGTTGTTGTTTTATCTTCAGGTATAAAGAACACGAAAACCTGAAGACCTGTATCGTTAAATTGAATTTTTTTTTCTTTTTCCAGAACACAAGCCAAGGAAAAACGTTAACTATAACAGAGCCCCCCCAGTTACCCGATGGTGGTCCGTCTCTTGCGTGCCCTATGCCTTTATGATCTTTAGGACCAGTGACAGTGGCAACTACCTTGTTCCATTCGATACTGTTTGACCAGTCTCATTCTTTTACTTGCTTCTTTTTACTAACAAGCTACCAAGGCAACAACCAAGGCTGCTACAGCTTCGTAAACCGTGAAATTTTATGTCTCTTAAAGACATTAAGCACACAACTACAGACTAGTCTCTGAGTCCTTAAATAGGGAACACGCTTCCCAGCAAGTGAAGCCAGTCCCCCAAGAACTCTGTAAGAGCCCAGTAAATTCCTTTTTTATTTAGTTGTGACACTGCAGACCTGGCAGCACTGTTACAGCATCCAAGCGCAAAATTTTAAAATTTTGTAACAACTTTTCCACAGTTGATAAAGACCAATAAATGAAACCTCACAAACGTGTGCTTTAGAATTTTCACCTCCATCTTACAAGGGGGAAAACATCATAATCACTCTATTTAACAATTTACAGAACTCATTTGTTTCATCCTACAGGCTCCAGCAGATTTAATCAATATTAATTCTCAGAATTTGACATCTTCACTATTAAATGTTAATCTTCCTATTCAGTGCAGCTCTTCTCAGTACTGTAATTTGATAATAGTTTCATGCAGCTGATATCTGAATCCCCACAGTTTCTAATGAGTTTCTCATTATTCAATTTCTCATTTCTCATTATTAAATCCGATAAATTTATTTTTAAGGTTACAACATGAATCTTAAAAGTGAAATACCATGTCTTTCTTTTGTGATATATTTTACCTTTGGAAAGTCCCTTTGCCATGTATTTAAAGGTTAATTGTAAATTTTCATTTCAGCTGTAACGAAAGCAGAAGAATGCAGCATATTTGGATTTCCAGTTAACTAAAATGCCATCAGAAGGTAGTTTGTCTGCTTTTGCTCACCTCAGACATGTCATGCACAAGAAGCAGAGGAATGGTAATCGTCGTGATGTCATGTGTGCAGCAGACTTTGAGTATGTTTCTGAGGCCCATTATAGCAGGGTCCCGTGCTGTGATATTCCCAGACCTCACGTTGTCATCAACGCAGAGATGGAAAACAATATGTACTTCAGAGAGGTTAGAGTGGCGGGAGATGTAAAATTCACCTAACAAGAAAAAGATGCAGTGATATAAATGAAATAAAAGATCATTTCAGATAACAAGTGTGAGGATAATTATACGAGCAGATACACAAGCCCACATTCAAATAATTAGGTCTCTGGGGTCTCCTTGCAAAATGTAGAACAGACATTTAATTAGACTTACATTAGTTATTTGTGAAATTCAGTATAATTTTTTTTTATGTATTGAGGCACTTTTTAATTATTTTTTTTTACTTCAAACCACATATAAGAAATGTTTGTAATATTTCGATATACATGGAAGACACAACTATTACAGCATTATCCATCACATAGGATTCACATATTGATATATGTGGTCCATTGCTGTCAGCAAGGGAAGGTCTATCTGTCCCAGTTCTATAGACCTTATTGTATTGTTTCTGTAAAGCAACACAATTGCAGTAATAGAGTTCAGCACCATGGACAGCTCTGAATAATCTGCAAGAGGTATCCAAGTTAATTAGTTTAGCTCATAACACACGTCTGGCAGCTCCTATAGCCTCAGGCAAGTCCCCCTTTGAATTACATATCCAGAAAGGTACAGTATCCCTGTCATATCTTAGATAGTGTCTTTAAAATGCTATTATGGAGTTTTTGGCTGCTGGAGCAACCTGTTGGCTTATATTAGATGAACTTACAAAATTGTGAATTTAATTTTTTTTTATAAAAAAGATTGACGCATGATCACTTGGGGCCTCAACTGTCCTCTCCTGAACATAGCACAGAACCTTTCTGCTTGCAGTGTCACAGGAAGTGGCTTTAGCACATTTGAAAAGACAAGCATCTGTTTTCTCAGACAGGTGCTGGGGCTGTTCCAGTGATAACTAGCTGAAGAAATCTGATTATTCCAAATTGATCTCTACAAAATGTTAAACAAATGGGGGAAAAGGTGCTTTCCAACCTGGAAGAATATTTGAAGGATTTCTTTCAAGATTTTTGGACTTATCTTCACAGGTTCCATTTCTGGAGAGATCTTAAAGGAAAAGAAAGGTAAACATGACGTCAGTTTTCACATACAAACTTTTCACATACAAAATGGCAAAAAATGTAATAAGCATATGTCAAAATGCAGTACAAAATAAAGATATTCAATTATGCTGTTGCCTGCTGAAAAACAAAGGAGAAGAACTCATTTGAATATTTAAATAACATTCTCATTTCTGAATATCACAAGTTTCCCTAATGACATACAATACACAAATCTAACCAGGGAATGGAAATGTGTAATATTTTTTAAAAACATAAGTGTATATTCTGACTTTTAACTAATAAAGAAGCATGCACCTAAAATCTCAAGATAATGGTTTAGTAACTGACAAAACATGGTGCTTCTTATAGAACTTGAGGCATATTACACGACCCAAATGTAAAAAAATACTACATAGTTTAAAAAATGAATTCAAAATTAAAAATCAAATGAATCAAAATAACGTGTATTAACAGTCACAACGAAACCCCATATAAGAGAAAAGTTTCTTATACAGGGTTTTGAGCACATCCCAACACAAAACACAAAAAAAGTCATTTAGTTCAAATTGTGTAATAAGTCATAAGAATTATGTAGCGGTTTTCAGAGCCTACGAGCAATGAAACAGAAAAGCCTCATCAATCCTGACCACTTCCAAATTTCTCTTTTCAACAAAGCTGACATCACTCTTCTTTTATTGCTTGATAAATAAATACTATGGTGTGTGGTTGACTGTTTATTCTCACTTTAAATCCTGGAAGTAACTCACTGACCTCCACAATGAATCACATAATCACATGACTTACCTGCATAGTACGAACATTAAAATGAATGTAGCACTACGATAGCCTAAACTATCACAATTAAATTGTTCATGATATTCCAACATGCCTATTCAACTTTTTGAAAATCATATCAAATCTTTATGATCATGAAAGAGCAACATGGTAGACAATTTCAAAAAGTAGAATTATGTTTTTTTTTTTTAGTTCTAATATGTTCTAATACTTTAAGATGCTTTAAGATGTTGTAGGTTTTTATATTTTAATATATGTCGCATTGCATAAAATACATACATAAGAATAAGAACAGTTTTTTAATAGGCTACACAGATCCTTTCATTAATGTGGAGAAAAAAACACTGTATAATTCAACAATGAAGAATGCGATTCATAATCTGTAATGTAATACAATTGTTAGCTTTGTATGTGGACCTTCACCATTAAATCTACCAGAATATGTCAATACCATTTCATCAATAAAGATGCATATAAAACGGTCCAGATTTTATTATTAGCAGTAGTAGTGATCATCATCATTATCTGAAATTTTTCTAGACACTCCACTCAAAGTGTATTAAAGATCATGAGGATCTCCCCTCAACCACCACCTCCAATTTGTAGCCCCCACCTGGATGACGTGAGGGCAGCCAAAGTGCACTGGTACGCTCACTATCAGTGGGGAGTGATGAAGCCAGTTCATCGATGGGGATTATGAGGCCACGATTGGTAAAGGCCAATGCGAAATTGGCCGGGGAACAAACGTCAAAAAGCTGGTGAACCGACACCTGACTGCAGATACACCTGGGAAGAGACAATCTGCCCTACCTGCAAAACTAAAGAAAGACTTATCCCGCTCCCTCTTTTAAGGTTCGGATATTTTCTTTAAAAAGATCAAATCGACTCGTCTGTGCACAACACGGGCCCAAACTGCGCGGGAGCGATGCGACACACCCACCCCACACACACACAGTTGTGGAAGCAAGGCAGAGTGAGGGGGGCCCACACTGCAGTATCCTCCGCCGTTGTACAGACCAGGAGATCCAAGGAACCTACCAGGCTGCTCCCTCAGCTTGCTGTTTCGCTGTGCTCGGGCATACAGCACCACCTGCTGGAACACCTCCAACTGCTCCTCCAGCCGAGGGAAATGGAAGTCGGTGCACTCCTTTGACACAGTAGCAAAATCTGGGACAGACACAGAGCGGCCACTCAACTAATAATAATAACATCACTTTATTAACCCTTAACAATTTCTTGCATTAGGAATTATCTTTTCGCAGACCCCAGCTTGCTCTCCATGAGACACACACACACACAGATAGGGAGAGAGCACAGGGTCTGCCATTGTACAGCACCCCTGGAGCGGTTAAGGGCCTTGCTCAGGGGCCCAACGGAGTAGGATTCCTCTGCCGGCTGCAGGATTTGAACCGGCAACCTTCCAGCCACAGGCACAGATCCTGAGCCACAGAGCCACCGCTCCGCCCCAGTTGAGAGGATACTACAGCAGTATCCTCTCAATTGCATGGACGTGGTTGATGTAATGATTGGGTGCTCTTAGACACACAATGGTACACCAATGAATTAAAAATACTAAACGATGTCTGTAGTTACTGTAATCAATTGCACTGAGCTCTCGTTATTATTACACATCACATTCATACACACAAACACATCCAGAAAGACAAATGGTTCTTTTCAAGAGTGCAACTAGAACAGGATCAATGCAGCTTGTTATAGAATCTATTATGGAACTTAAAAACAGAAAAAGTGAAAAAGTTGAAACATTTAAATATAAATCTAAAAATTAATTATTGATATTATTTCATTTAGACATACACTTAACTCAATGCATTGTAAAATGGGTATCTGAATTCTTCTTAAAAATATTAATTTTATAGCAGGAAGTAGATTAGACCACAGCACATGAATGATATATACTAGCAGAACAGAGATTACAAGCATCGTACTTGATGGAGGATGTTGACTGTTAAACAATTTGTTAAGTGAAAACCTTTCAGCGCCTGCCCAAGATATTAACCTGACATAGCAAAACCCACAGGGCCAGTTTAGAACTAGAGATGAAGGACGGACAAGGCGATCCATCCATCCATCAATTTTCTAAGCGTTTTACCTCATACAGTGTTGCAGGAAACTGGACCCTATCCTGGCAAGCAAAGTGGGATTCATGTTGCACGGGATGCCAGTCCATCACAGGGCACAGAGACAGACACACAAATACTCACACCAGGGCCAACCTTCCCAGAAGCCGATTAACCTGCCAGTAAGCTTTTGTTATGGGAGGAAACCGGACCACTCGACGAATGCAAATACGAGAACATACAAACTCCACTCAGATAGCACCCCAGGAATTGAACCCGGGGCCCCAGAGCTGTGAGACAGCAATGCTAACCACTCCGCCATCATGCCGCCTAACAAGCAGATTCAGGTGTAAATCATTGGAATGCTGCTTTTAAGGCAGAGAGAACAATAATAATAAAATTAACAATAATAATAATACTATTTGCTTATACTTATACAGCACTTACAGGGTGTATAACGCTGCCCTAGGCTAGTACTGTTAGCCCTTCATTTGCTCGTCTATGGACAGCATGTTGCTCCATTGTACTTTTTGGACACTCAATCTGTATATACCTATGCACATTTTGCACATGTTACTGTTTTTACAGTGACTATGATCATATTTTGCACACACCTATGGATTTATTTTTATTTATTTATTTTATATTTATTTTGTATTACTGTAGGTATTCTAATTTGTTTGTCTATCCTGATGTCTGTTTTTTTTTTTGCTCGTCTTGGGCTGCTGTAACTCATCAATTTCCCTTCGGGATCAATAAAGTCTTACCTCTCTATCTTTTCTGGACACTCCACTCAAAGCACTTTACAGTTAATGGGGACTCCACCCCACCACCACCAGTGTGCAGGCCCACCTGGATGATGCGACGGCAGCCATAGTGTTGCAACACAACACTTACCACACACCAGCTATCAGTGGGGATGAAGCCAGTTGATAGATGGGAAATATTAGGAGGCCATGATTGGTAAGGGCCAAAGGGAAATTTGGGACTTTTAATGACCACAGAGAGTCAGGAACTTGGTTTAACATCTCATTTGAAGGACTGTGCATTTTTACAGTACAGTGTCCCCGTCACTATACTGGGGCATTAGGACCCACACAGACAATGGGGTGAGCGCCCCCTGCTGGCTCCACTAATACCTCTTCCAGCAGCAACCTTAGTTTTTCCCAGGTCTCCCATCCAGGTACTGACCAGGCTCATACCTGCTGAGCTTCAGTGAGCTGCCAGTTGTGAGTTGCCTGGTGATATGGCTGCTGTATCTATAATCTCTAAATGTATTTGTAACACAAAAGAAGCCATGCAGCCACAATATTAAAGCATATTCACTGGAAAATAATGAGAAATAAGTGGATAAGAACTCCAGATCAATCTACCAGCCATCAGGCGAGGAAGATGGGCAATAGGCAACTCTTTGCTCTTTCTGCTGATAGACGTTTGAACTGCAGACGTGGGCCACTGAGCCTCACCCAGGCTCACCTCTCTTGATGCCGCTGTAGGAGTTGATGCGGTTGTCCACCAGCAGCACCAGGCCGCACAGCGAGGAGGAGTAGAGGGACAGCGCCGTCTGCAGCCGCTGCAGTTTCACCCCGCTGCGGTGGTGCCGCTTGTGTTTGCAGAAATCCAGCACGTGGGCTCGCACCAGACGCAGGTTGTGCATCGTCTTCAGCTGCGCCCCTTAAAGGAAAAGAAATGAGAAGGAAGTCAGATTTTGGTTTTCTGTAGTTCCCTGCATCCATCCATTGCAAATCAAATCAAAATTTATCAAATGCACAGCAATACAGCGTGCATCAGTAGTTGCTGGCAATGAAATGTCTTTTCTGCGAGCTCACAAGAATCACAACAATCACAAGAATCACAAGAATCACAAAACTGAGGTTACAAAAATAAGGTTACATGATAAACAGATGTAATAGAAATTGAATAAAACTCAATACGAGTAGAGCTGCTGTGTGTCCATGGTGTATGCAATATATACAAGTAGTGCAGTTATGCTGAATACAGTGAAAACTGTGTGTCCATGCAGCCATTACAGGTGATTTGCTAAAGGAGCTGCAGGTTGGCTATTAAGCAGTCTTACTGCCTGGAGGTAGAAGCTGCTCCGTAATCTGTTGGACTTGGACTGAATGCTGTAACGGCTTCATCCCGTTCAGGGTCACAGGAGAACCTGAGCCTATCTGGGTGTGGGAAGCCAGTTATGATCTTCTAATATAATTATTAGCCCGTAATATAATGGGCTCTGTAAATGAATTAAAGCCTTTCTTAACACGTAATGGACATCACGTGAGGTCGGGTTTGTTTTTGTGGGAGGCAATTGCTGGAAGAGGGAATCGTGGATTTTGCGTCCATTTTAAACTGTTGGAAACCTGCCACCCATATGTCCTCATGCAAAATTATTTATGGCCAAAATCTACAGTCTCTGTAAAGAAATCATTTGAGTGCAACCCCTCGCAAAAAGTGGTTGCATTTGATTAAAATGTTTAAAACTTTACATTGAAATCTTTAATAGTCCTAGGCCCTAATATCCAGTAGCACAAGTTGCAAAGTCCACACAACGTTTCGATTTTTTCACCATTTCTTGGCCTTGCACTGACATTTTTGATAGGACAGAAGGCTCTGCTTGTGTCAGGTCTGGAGTATCTTGCAAACTTACAAGAGAAAATCCTCTGGTTGTCAGTGTGGTGTAGTTTTGGTATAATCACTGTAAAAAACCGCGCCTGCATTTTATGATTTATGATTTTATAATATAATGATTTTATGATTACACACATTTACACAGATATGAGTGAGATCAGTACTTCTCAACACGGCAATAATCCCTGCTGACAATTAATGGTGTTATTGAGGCAAATAGCAGTACCTAAGTGAATTGTAAAACTCTCCTCTAGTTGTCTCTGGTCTTCAAACAATCTTTCACTAGGTTCCTGAGATTCACTCAGCTGGCTTGGTTGGACCTTAATCTCTTCACTTCAAAAACAGAAAAGAAAACAGTGTTGTGATAACATCTTGATTTTAAACAGATAATGTGACTGTAATAGTCACAGATACTGTATACAGAAACTTCTTTAGCATGTCACTTGCTAATAGTGTGATATTCTATGTTAATCCATACTTTGTTTACAATGATATCATTCCTAAACTAGTTGGACACAAGACTTCTATCAGACGTAATCTAACACTAATATACCATTTTACATGTAGCAATAAACAAAGTTTATTCATTCCAAGTAATAATATACTGAAAGCCAGCACTAAGCAGAGAAAACACAGCAGTCTGTATGAGCAGAACACAAAGAAATGGGAGATGTCCAACAAACCCTACCTGATGGTACTGTTGTTGGGGTTCTGTAAATCCTGGTGCAGTTTCATCACCCACTCCTGGTACTCTTGCTTCTGGATCGTTGTTACATGTTTCAGTTCATTGGCCCATTTGTTTTCCAGATCCTAAACACAAACCATGAACCAAACATTTTACAAATGGAAGAAGGTGCATATGAAGAAGTAAGGAGATGTAATGAAGAAGATTAAATAAATCCACTGGGCCATGTTACAAGCAGCTTTTAGGTGGAATTACTGTACCTCACCAAGATCCACTTCGATTTCCCTCTTTGAATAAACCTCTGCTACATACTTGTTCAACAGTATACAAAGTTAAGCAGGCTGAGACCTTATTCCCAAACCCAGTCTTTCTCACTGTCTTGAGATCTGAGGGTCATGACTTATAACAAAACATAACATCACTTTATTAGCCCTATAGAATTTCTTGCATTAGGAATTTGTCTTTTCGCATACCCCAGCTTGCTCTCCATGAGACATAGACACACAGACAGGGAGAGAAGCTTGGGGTCAGAGCACAGGGTCAGCCATTGTCCAGCACCCCTGGAGCAGTTGGGGTTAAAGGGCTTACTCCTTGTTCAGGATTTGAACCGGCAACCTTCCAGTCACAGGCGCAGATCCTTAGCCACAGAGCCACTGCTTCGCCCCACTTGTACAGAACAGCAGACAGAATCATACAGGCAGCATACAGTCTTCCCTACCTGTTGGGCGTCAAAATGCTGAGCAGCAACTGCATTCACATCCTGGTCACTCAACGTTTTCCCCAGCTCTTGCATCACTTTATCCATTTCTACTGATTGTCTGCTCAACACAGCACAGATGCGCAGAGAATCCAAGCAAACCTTTTAAAATCTGAACTGGTATGTCATTGCTTTCCTTACAATGTTTGTTTTCAATATAATTCCTAACATGAACTCATGATACCTGTTCTATACATCATCCTTATCAATACGGAGCAGAATGGCATTTAAGAACAATTAAATACAAAATAAAACGGGTCCGGAAAGTTCCAGAGCTTCACAGAATTTATATAAAGTGAATACAAAATACAATTCAGGTTAAAAAAATCTTACATTACCTATTTTTTTCCATTAAAATTCTAAAACAAAAGCTATGAAAACTATTTTACAGTATTTTAAACTATAGTTTAACCATGATAGTTTTTAGCTAAATCTATTTCAATAAAAGAAATGTACGCTTCATACAACAGTGACACTGTAAGCAGTTTTTACAATGTTATTGTATACCACATTTTTAAAAAAGGAAATAGATACCAACAAAGTGAATAACTAATCTCCAATAGCATACACTGCCAACTCCAACTGCTCCAATTAACAATTAAACAGAATTTAACAATACTTTTGTATATGTAGACACAAGTACTGTGCATGGTTGCCGTATTCTTAAGCAATAAACAAACCTTTCCTGTAATTTCTTCAGCTCCATGTCTCTTTCACTTATGAGCTCAGAAATGCTGACAAAGTAGTTGTGCTCCAGGTTCAGCAGAGTCTCAGAGGCGGGTGAATGGATCAGGTCGTGATAAACGTCAGCAAAATCTTCATCCCAGTTGGGCTCCTCTGGTCGGACGTGTTCCAGTGTAGTCTGTGCCAAGAATAAAAAAAATTAAGTAGAGAAAACTCAACATGCATTACCCGCAAAATCACGATACAGTATTTGAGTGCAGAAACCACTTTGTCACCCCGATCTGTCGTATCACGCTGTGATGTCAAACGTATGGAAACAGGGAGGCTTTAGATGCATGTATCTTTCCTAACCACAAAGAACAGCCTGTTCAGATCCAGTGAACAATGCCTTATTTTTTAGAAAAATTGCAAATCCCAAATGATCTTTTTGTCAGTTCCACCCATTGCGCAGCAGCCAGCTGGTGCAGCACTGACTCATGTGACCTCCCAAGTGCCAGTAGCCCCACTGTAACATCAGTGAAAGACATCTTCTCTAATTGGCGTTGAGCTTCCTGTACTCCACTGCAGAGCTCGTAAGCTGTCAAAAAACGAATGATTAAACAAATACATTTGGCAATTCTAACTTTATCTGGTAAATAAAAAATAATTGCTGCTTCTGAATTATTAAAGACACAAGGAGTTTAAAATATGTTTTTTACCTGGTAATGTTATAGTATTTAACAACGGAGGTGGTGAGGTAGCCTCTTACAGTACCTAACCTGTGTATACCACCCTCATGTTAACATTACTTTTTATTAAGACTCTTACAAGGTCCTTGCTTCAGAAGATGTAAATGTCTTCTTCCAACAAATATTTCATGCAGGAAAAACTTCAGCACAGTTTTTGATAAAGGAAATTAGTTTTGTGGACTGAATCATGAAACAATATGTTAATACAAACCCATTTATTTACAATAACACAGCCCACAAAAGATATACACATCCTTTCCAAAGTAACACATTTTGTGTCCTAACTGCCTGAAATCACAACATGTTCAATCAAAATGTATTCATTTACACATTTATTGTAAATAAATAAATGTAATTTATACACATTTTAACAAACATCCTCCAAGTGAAAAACAAATAATTTAAACATTCCAAAAAGTAATAACAAAAAAAGAAAGAGAATGGAGACTTTAACTTTCTAACACGAAGAATTGAAACACAAATTAAAATGAGAAACGTTCTGGAGTCTTTTACTTTAACAGAAGATCTGATTCCTAATCTTACTACATAAGAAGAGTACATCTATATAAAAGGGCACATATTAATACAAACTTTAAAATGGATCAAGGAAGAGGGAGATGAACTTTTCTGGCAATATTTAAAACATTCACGGGCCATCAATCTTTCATATTCCTTTTGAGTTTGAGAATCTTTGAAACCTAACCGTGAGCAACATGAAGGACATTTAAACATTTAAAGCCACTTTAAATAAGCTGGATCGCTTCCATAAATATTTATTTGCAACAGCAGTAGCTATCCTGAATGCAATAGCAAGCCAACACGACTTTATTGGAACACTCTGCTTTCTTTTTAAAGTGCCTGACCGTGTGGCTTCAGAATTTCAACTACAAGAGTTGAAGCTAAGAATGACAGGCCTGCGAAAAAGGAGCTATGGATGTCCATTTCAGAATTGCTTTATGGTATACTTTAAATAACCTTTTCTGGCTTAATTAATTCTAAATTTAATTAAATTAAATTTTTTTTTAGCTCAACTAAAGGCGATTTTACTGTTGTATCTTCCTATTACTTTGCTTATGACCACAGATCTGCAAAACTTCTCAAAAACAGCAGAGCAGTGGTTTATGTCAGCTTCTGAAACATTTTAGGATCACTTCTGAATTCCGTCATCTGTGCGTCTGTATGTCTGGTGAAATGCAGGGTTGAAGAATCTCTCCTTTCAACAAGACAACCTATTGAACTAAATCTAGAACAAATCTCTTTGCCTTTTGGAATTTATTTTCCTTGAGGTAATTCCAAACATGGAATGACTGGAATGAACATCCATCCATCCATTCCCTATCCCGGCAAGAAAGGAGTGTAGGATTCACCTACAGGGCAGATACACAGTCACACATACACTCACACCAGAGCCAATTTTCCACGAGGCCACTTAATCTACCAGTATGTAGCGTGGAAAGAAATCAGAGCACCTTGAGGAACCCCATGAGAACATGTGGAGAACAAGCAAACTCCATGCTGATAGTACTTCAGCTCCGGAATTGAACCCAGGGCCTCAGTGTGGCGAGGCAGCTTTGTTAACCACTGGGCTGCCGTATTGCCCAACTGAAATTAACACTCATAGTAAATTCAGAGCTGAAGGGAACCTTAGCATTGAACTGAATTCCACTGAAATGCGTCCTTGCAAATCACAGGATAACCAATCAACAGCACAAAACCGATCTTTTAAAGACTTAAAAAGATGAAAAAAGGAGTTCCATAATCTTCTTCAGCCAAGCTCTTTGGGAAGCAGCCCCATAAACCACAGGGTAGTGTTCTGAGTGCAACATGCTGCCTTTTCTATTATTGGCTGAGTCGCTTACCTCGGTATAAGCTTTCTCCCAAGCGCTGGTAAGTAGGTCAATGTCCAAGTCTCCAGTCCTGAGTCTTTCCAAGGCTAATTCTGCCTCTCTGTCATAGTCCTTAATAGTTTGTTCCTCAATAAACTTGCAAAGAGCATCCTTTAAATCTAACAAAGACAAAAACAGACGAATCAGACACGTTAGACAATTCTGTCATACAAACCACCATGTGCATTACCTGCTGTTGTCAGACTTTCTATTTATTGGTAGAAGCTACCTGGTATATTTCCGACAATTAAGGATTGACTGCTCTGTAATCTAGTATGGATAAGGGCTCATCGGATCCAGTAAAGTATGTTGAATTTCAAGATTTTCTTACGGTAAACATGAAGTACTATGTAATCCACTAAGTGTAGAACCTGACAGACAGCATTCAAAGATTTCTCATTAAATCAGCCTGCATTTGAATTGCCACAATATGCTAAAGAACACGGGCAACTTAAAAATCGTCAGCTTTGAAATTAGCCTGTAGCTGGACTTCGGGATCTATTTGTATTATTTTAACAAAGGAAATGAACAATTTAACAATGGCAGCAATTCAATCCATTTTCGAACCACTTTTAATTCAGGGTCATCTCCGGGGAGCCAGAGCCTATCCTGGCAAGCAAGAAGCGCATGACAGGGTACACCCAGTCCGTACCCAGTACCCTGTGTCAGGTCACACACACACAGACATGCACACACTCACAACATAGACAATATTCCCAGGAGCCGATTAACCTACCACCATGTCTTGGGACGGCGGGAGAAATCTGGAGCATCTGGAGGAAACTTATGTGAGCATGGAGAGAACATACAAACTCCACACAGACAGCTTCCCAGGTCCAGAATGCACTGCGAGTCAGCAATGATAACCAATGTGCCATGGTCCCAACCCAAACAGCAGTTTTGACGTTTTCAGGATCCCAACCATCCCGGCCATAAACTGGTCTCCCCCCCTCCCGTGCTCTGGCAAGCAGTACGGCACTATTAAGGCACGAAGCACCAGGCTTAAGAACAGCTTCTGCCCTACTGCAGTGAGCATCCTCAACAGCTAACTGCAATGCCTCAGAACTACCGCTGCACTGCATGGACTGCCATGTTTTTTTCAATACCACATATTTATTGTGTTTTACAACATATTTATTGTTCTGGTCGTTATTACTTATTCTGCATGTAATGTACTGTCTACATTGTGTGGTGTTGTCTGTTGTACTGTGTGTGTCCCGAGAGATCAGCACGAATAAGAGTTCCAATGTGCATGTACTTATGGCAATGAAATCCTCTGCCTCTACTACTTATCTTGGTTTCACCCGTGCATAATCTTTGTTCCAAAACTCTTGGCTCATTTTTGAAAAAACAAATTCCAAGCAAATGATGAAGGCTGGCAATGAATTTCATTGCTTCACCAGAAAGCCTAACCCTCAAAAGATTGCTCTTTTTTGATCTAGGGAGAAAAAAAATGCAATTTCTTAAAATAAATGTATTCTAATAAAATAACTTAAGATCTTCTTAATTCACTGACTGGGTAGGCTGAAGAACACCATAATAATATGTTTGGCCTAATCTGATATGGACTGTTGAGCCTTCTTAGGATTCCTTCTTCAGGAATGAACCTCTACTTCCTCCTTTGCAGTCTCCCATTCCTGACACAGGTCACTACTTGACCCTATCTGAACAGTAGTTCAGGTGGGTAGCTGCGTCAGAATGCGTAGGCTGCAAAGGAACAATAGGTTTATTCCATGCTGAATAAAAGAAGAAAGAAAACACAACGTCTCGGCCGTGGAGCCTTCTTTAATTGTGGCGCATAAACCTATTACTTGTTCCTTTGCAGCCTATTTGAACAGTATGTGCAAAATTAAATTGGTCCTGATTTTAGTTGTTTTTTTTTTATCCCCGAAGGCATCTTTTAAACACTAAACAAAGCCTGTTGTCCCGAGTATTCGGTATATGACAGTGAACTCACCATCTTCGACGAAGCAAGGCAGTCTGTGCAACAGCATTAGCCTGCCGTGAAGATCGCTGAGGTTTTCCTGCACTGGGAATTTCAAAGGAACCGTAAGGGTACAGGACTGTCGCCCTGCCGTGAACTGAAACACAAATTCCTTCTCTGAGGTGGAGCCTTTGCCTTTGTTTCTTTTCATTCTTGATTATTCGGTTCTGTCGAGAACGAGAAACAAGCAGCACAAGAAAAAAAAATAAGTCACACTTTCTCCTACATTTAAATCAAGGAAGAAATCTGTCGGGGTTGAAATATGATCATTTATGACAAAAAAAAAAGATAAATAGGGACCAAATACCGTCTTCGGAATAAAAATCACCGACAAAGACTGTAGTTACCTTGAAAATGCAAACCTTTATCTCAGAGATACGACATTCAACTATTAGAAGTTGCAGACGTTGTAGTATAACGTACTAAAGGGATTTTTCTCACTTTATACTTGGGTGTAAAAAAATGTTTATTTCTTCCTATATAATTCACAAAACGTCTATTTACAATTCCGGCAGGACGAATGAACACGTGACCCTATCAGCTGACATATTGGCTAAGCTGCAGATTGTGAAAAGCACTTTCGACTTTTCAAACTTTTCAGACTCGCATCTCTCCAAAAAAGTGATAAAAGTGTTTACATTTTATGAATAATTAAAAAGAAAACCCAGATTTGATTGTTTATTTATGTTCTGTAGTTTTTTGTGTGTCATTAAAAAAGTTGAAAGCTAATGGCGAATTGCAAATTATGAAATCACAACTTAATAGTGTTACATTCATTTTCAGGCGGGACGGTGCTGGTTTCTCAGGGAAGAAGGTTTAGTGGAAAGTATCTTTATGTGCAGGAAAAACGCATCCTTTTAATTATGAGCGAAATAATAATAGTTTTTTTGTATTCATCCTGAAAGCTGAGGTGGCTGCTTTATCATCCGTGAGCTGGCGATCATTGGTGTAGGCTGTCACGTTAGCTTTGCGTTTTGTTGTTGTGTTTCGTGACATGTTGAGCTTTCTGTAATTCTTGTATCCACGGTCTTCATAAAGCAGTCATGGCAAGACCTTCAAGGTTTGTAAATATTCAGCAAAGTTTTTAAACTGGCTTAAAAACACTTTGTTGCAACTGGCTGTACAAGGGTTTATGAAGATTAAAGGTACTATTATTACTGATGACGATAACTATATTTCTTAGAGCAATAGTATCAAAGATGTTTAAACAGTGGTAATTACGTTAAATTAGTTATTTCTGCATATAGTTAATAAAAGTCGCATCAATTTTGCTCAAACACGGTATCTTGCCTATTAATGTTAATATGTGTGGCCTCCAAAACGTAGATTCTGATCACTGTCACCTGTATCATATATCCTCCTATGGCCTTGACATGTTCGTTATGTTAATAAATTAATTATTGATCCAGTGCCTTGTTATCAGAGATGAGATTTCCCAATAAATGCTTAGTTAGGATTTACCATACCAGCGCTTAAAAGGGTAACCGTCTAATTTTTAAGAGCTCATTTCTGAAGAGGTATAATCGATAATTGTGTGAGGCTCTCTGGGTTGTCGCAGGCTTCATTGAATGGTTTTGTCACTTTCGATGTGACTTTACATTGCAACAGCTACTGCACAACAGTTTCACCGCGTTGTTCCGTTTGTTTGACAAATGGACAAAGTCTTTGCCTTGGGTTTGCAAAGTGCAGACACAAATTCACCATCATGCACACAACTAACTAACTTATGGGTAGCACAGTCCTTTGCAGCAATTAGCTTCTAATTAGAAAACCCAATTTCCGCATTCAGTTAAATTGAAATGATCATAAATAATGCTGAATTCTTTATAGATCTTCAAAGCTCTGAAATGAAGTAAATGGAGTTGGCATAAACAGGGCAGTTATTACACATGAAGAGACTTGGGCTTGCATGTTTTCCCCTGTTTCTGGTGATCACTACCTCTGAGCGCCCCAAGTTGAGAATGGCTGACCTGTGATTCGTGGAATTCTTTTTTTTTTTATTTAATTGTGCGCCCATTTTGATCACCTTTTTCCTGTTCTGGTTTTGCAGGACCAAGAAACCTGTGGATTATTCACAGTTTGGGGATCTTGATGACGGTAGGTATTTTGGAGTCATAAAAAATAATTAGTACCTAATGCCATGTTTTATTTTAGTGCAGTCCCCTGGTCCAAGGCTATTGGAGTGACATTAATAATCCAAAAGTAATAAAATAGATGGCTTCTGACTTCAGCCTTCTCTGATGAGGCTTACATTAATAACTGCTGTTCCTCTTGGCTTTGCATTAATAAAGTAGTTAGGACAGAGGGTCCTGACAGGTGCAGAATTCAAGGGCCTTTCTATTGCTGTGTCCCAATTCTCATACTGAGCCCTCAGCCCCTTCCTCCAAGTCCACACTTCTTCTGGACTTCAAGTGTGTGAGTATTTGAGGGGTCATCGTTTTAAACAGGGTGATGGGGACACCGTTGCGTGACAACACTTGATGGCTCAGGGTCAAAATTGTTTTTTTTTGTTGATGCTTCTTTTCCAGTGGCTGTTGGCTGATCATTTTTTCAAGAATGTTTCATTCTGCGCTCGCAGAGGAAAGTGAATTCCGTCCCGTCTATACCTGCACAAAAGTAGTGCCACATCATCGTGTACATTCATGTGGAGCAGGCTCGACTCAAAATGAGTAAAGGAATCTAAGGAAAACTTGGCATTACCACTTTCTCTTTCTTCAAAGCTTTGTATTACTACATGCATTTCATGGCGTCTGTCCCTGTACAAATATGACAGTCCGAGGACCATAACACGTTCATTCAAAGTAAAGTAAATAAGGTAAACTTGGCCATCTCAAGTTGACCTCAAAGCTTTGTATTATTAAATATGTGTACTATTGAATAGCCCATGTACAAAATACACCGCAGGTAAACAAATATTCATCAGTCAAAAAGAGGTGACTAAATAAAATCTTTATGTCAAAACTTCATACCAACAATATATACATCGCCTAATGAAATTTAGTTTTTACGTAAAATATGACTTTCAAAATTGGCAAAAAAAAGTTCAATCTTGCTAATGCTTGATGAATATTTTTATCTCCATGGCAACTTCTCTCCACTTTGATAGGCTAACATATGAAACGTCACCATTCCGCAAAGAATTAAGAGTAATTCCTTTCAGTGAAGTCCACTCCGATGCAGGATTCAGAGAAGGGCGCATTGGAGGTGCTCGTGAGCGCCTTTGTGAAACACAAATTTAGAAATGGGACGCCCTAAGCTCTTTCAGACTTGAGCTGGAAAGTGCATATCGGGACACGGCCTATCTCTCCACAAGTTATACACAGCTCTTCACCTGGGAGAGCTTTAAATTGACCCATTTAATGTGTTGAAGGAATTTAAGGTGGAACTGGGCAGGTTGACCTCTGCTTCACAGCCATGAGCTGGTGATGGTTTCAAGTGAGATAAAAAACCAGCAGGTTCCAAGGCCCTGAGGAGTGGAGCTGGGGACCCCAAAGTTCGAAGACGGCAGATGTCACCTTGGAACTGACAGCGACAGAAGCGCTCATTCCCCACTTTTGAATCATTCGCATTTAGACGACGATTTTGCCTGCGTGAAAGCTCCTCCAAGCAAGAAGCCAAGAGGGGCAACGACAGCGCAGGAGCGAGAGAGAACGCCGAAAGAGCCTGCCAGAGTCTCGAATGAGGGGTCCGGTTCGCAGCCCGAACATGGAAATGAGCGGTAATTTGATGGTGGCTTTGTTTTGCCCTGCATAGCAAATATGATGGTAAAAAAACCTGTTCACTTTCATTTTGCTCTGTTGTAGAATTTTGCGGCACCTGGCTACTGTTGTAACCCTAGCTGGCATCTGGAATCCTTATCAGTTATCCTCCTTTTCTGCCATAACTCTAACCTGTTACTTAGAAGTCCAGTCCTCATGCAGAAGGGACTCAGTTAACCCTTTCTTCACATCTTGTATCTTTTTCACTACTTAAATATTTATTTAAGAACAGTTATAAACAAGAGGGGACCATTTGGCCCAGCTAGCCCATTTGGTGGTCGTTTTTAAAGATAATTCGGAACAAATTCTCATTTAATGTGATGACCTGGAGAACCATTTAGAGTAGAAATCCTTTGAGTGACGTACCTTGATCTTCAAGAGTACAACAACAGCATCCCACCTGGGATTTGAACCCGGGACCTTCCTGTCAGGAATTCAGAGCGCTAACCACTACTTGACAGTCCTTCCCAGGAGAGAGAAGAGAAAGCCAAAGCCATGTTTACTTGCATTTTCAACATACTTTATAACATTAAGGCTCTAGTGACAGCATCCCCTGCTTTACAAGGCAGTGCTCAAGCTGTTGAGCTACTGTATTAAGCCTCCAGTGTTGCTAATTGGTGGAATTAAATTGGAATATTATCACTGAGTGTACCACTGCAGCAGAAAGGCTGCCTTTTGAGTAGTGATCTTTCAGTGACAGTAGCGTTCAATTTGGAATAAAAGGTTGGCTAAAGACTAATAGTTTAGCAACTCTACATACAAGACATGAAATCTAGCATCTTGCATCTCCATAGACACAGTTGTGTTAATCAGAACCGCTAAGTTTCTGTTTTCAGCAGTGTGTCTGTGTGGGGAACTAAATAAATATTAACATAACACTTAACAGGGTTGCATAACAGTTACAGTATCGTTGGTGCCTCACAGATCTTGGGTTCTGGTGTTCAATTCAGGCCTGGTGCTTCTTCTTGGGGGAGTTTGCATGTATGTCATCCAGGTGGTGTGGTTTCCTCCTATTTTCCAAAGACATGCAGGCTAGATTTCAGTGCAGTTACTAAATGGTGGCCCTGAGAGGTGTTATTGTCCTGTCCAAGGTAGAAGATAATTAGCTCTCAAGACATGAGGCTCTCCTTTATCAGATGCAAAGGATTAGAAATCATTTTGGAATTTGGTACTTTTTTCATTTTGCAGAATAGTAGATTTTCATTATTTCAATATACAGCTTTAGGGGTTGTATATTGATTAAATACCTACTTGAAGCAGTATAAAGAAATTAAGTTACAAAAATACATGTTCTTGTTTCAATAGATAATAGTCAAATAGATCCAACCAGTGTACACAGTTCACAGTATTGCAATTATTTTTATATTGATGTTATTTTTCATTATTCTATGTCATACTCTGAAATATTAAATAACCAGGATTACGGTTTTAGATAAAATAAGATCACTTTATTGGCCATATACAATTTCTTGTATTAGGAATCTTTTTCGCATTCCCCAACTTGCTCTCCATGAGACACACAGACGAGGAGAGAGAAGCTTGGGGTCAGAGTGCAGGGTCAGCCATTTATACGGCGCCCCTGGAGCAGTTGGGGTTAAGGGCCTCGCTCAGGGGCCCAATGGATTAGGATTCCTCTGCCGGCTGTGGGATACGAACTGGCAACCTTCCAGCCACAGCTGCAGATCCTTAGCCACAGAGCCACCGCTCCGCCCTCTGAAGACAGAAGGCTTCAGCAGAGAATGGATAGGACGAGCACTGATTAATAATACTGAATTAGAATTCACAATTCTCTTCCAGATTATCTGTGCATGACAAAGTGTATAACAGAGACTTAGAAGCAGCTCTTGTCTTGTCTATGCTTCAGTCAGCTGAAGAACCTTGTGAGGCCCTTTCACCTGAGGCAAAAGGTAAGCATTAATGACATTAAGCCTGATTTTATATGACAATAAGATTGTCTTTCATCACACAACATACAGTAAATGATGACTCTTGCAGGCTTGCACATTGTCTGTTTGCTCTGTTTAATGATCTTGCCCATTAACCAAGAGGTTAGACAACTTAGTGTCTTGTTAACTTTAATTAGTCATAATTCTGAAAACCTACTTAATAATTCGGTGCACATATGCTTAGGCTCCATATATATTTTTCTTATTTCAGTAAAGTGAATAAATGTATTTTATAATCCAATCATCTACTTATACTGCAGATACTACTCATATCCTGAACATTTTTTTTCTTTCGCTGCCCAGTGTTTATGTTGAGTGCTTCTCCTTAGCACAGTAATTTCACAAACAGTGTGATCAATGCATAAATAAGTCATAGGGGCTTAGTACACAATTTCTTTTTCAATTCATGCACAGGTGTTTACAGAGATATCTGTCCCACTCTTCAGAGAGGTAATACTATGCTGGCACGAGCAGCAGTGCTCTCAGTAATTAAACTGAAACGTAAACCATCCATCGAGTTGCTTTACAGCCGCAGAAAACTGATTGTGTTAAGTATTTTAGAAAGAGTGCTCATTAAAGTTTTACAGTTGGTTTGATCTATTTATCTGTTAGATGGTACAATTAAAAAAATGGAAGAGCTTTTCCCTCAAAGTGTGTTAGCTATTCAAAAAACTGTTAAAATTTCAACAAAGATGTGCATATGTGTATTTAATAAAGGAAACGGGAGTCATCCTGAAGGAGAATCTGAAAATATGAACGGACCTCCTTTACTCTCAAACTGCAGTGTGGATATCAACCTTCTTGGTAACATTCTTTAAATTGTCATAATTCAGGACTTCATATTCAGAAACATTTTGTGTGTGTGCCCATTAACACTTCTACAGTGGCTATCGAAATATGTAATTGTGTGTTTAATTGTTTTGCTATTGGTTGTCACTAAACACTCTATACTATCAAAGTGAATTAGTTATAGTTAAATTAGTTATAGCTAGAAAACAGAAAATAACTGATTTAGTAGACCAATGTTTAGTGATTAAATGCTATAGAATCTTCATGTTATTCTTCAGTACAACTGAATTGTTGTTCTTTTTTCCCTTTAAAAATGTTACTGCATATCACTTGCTCAGGATTAACCATATGTGTTAAAATTAAGGCTTTTTACTATTATTTTTATTATTAACTATTAAATATTATTATTATTAATATAACAAAAATAGTTATTATTGTCATGGAGATTGTCTAAATTGTATAGTACAGGATGCCTTATCCTATGCCTAACAGCTTTGTGTAAATGGCTGTGGTAGTATAGTAATTATATAAAAAAATAAATAAAATGGAAAAGGTGCAAAAGAAAGAGATTTTGTTTTGTCCAGCCGATATCGATCCACTTTATCCAATACAGGCTAGCAGGGGAGCCACAGTCTATCATAGCAAGCTGTAGTGCAAGGGAGGGTGGAACGCTAATCTGCTGCAGAGCAAATACACACACATACCACGACCAGTTTTCCCAGAGGCCAGCCTTAATGTGCAATAGGACTGTGGGAGGGAAAGGGAGCACCCAGGGGAAACCCAAGCGAACATGAAGAGAACATACAGACTCCACACACATAGCACCCCAGGTCTAGCACTGGCAGGTGTTAATGGCTGTGTTTTTCGTTGTTGCCCATCTTACAGGGTTAGATAAGATTACAGACGAGAAGAGCTCTACTTCTGGTCCCAGGCAGAGGAGAGCAGCCTCAAAGGCGACCGAAAGGCAGAAGAAGATTTTGATGGATGATGAAGGCAGCGATGCTGAGGCAGATGAAGAGTACCTGCCCACCTGTACTCCAGGTAATTGTCTTCACACACCAAAGCTTTCACTGTTGAACATGTCTATAACATCCCACCCTGGTTAAGACTCTTCATTTTATTTATTGGTCAGTTCTTAGGCAGCTCTGTTTCAGAGAAGTCCAGTCATGTCATCTTATTATTTTTTAGAGAATTGCTACAATAATAATGCTTTTTGCTATTTAAAGAACATCTTGCATTGGTTGCTTTCATTATAGGTTATTTATTTCAGCGTAATAAACAATGTGTTATTTCTTGGGTTTGTAAAAATAAAAAATGGCACTTAAAATTCATCTCGCAGCTCTTTTTTCCCCCACAGTTTCCTGTGTTGATACCCGTTAAGGTTGGGAAGAGGTGGAGTTTTAGGGTAACTGCTTAGTTTTAGAAAAATTAGCCTGTTTGTTGTACAGATATTTTGCTGTAGCCCAAGTTAATGATATCTTTAAATGAATTTGATTAACCTGGAAATATTAAACAAGTTTCCCTTTAGAAGGTGACTTGAAATGCTTAGCTCTTTCTCCTTTTAAAATGGGCAACTTGACAGACTCAGTCATCATTAACTTGTTTTTAAATTTAGCAATGAGTTTAAATCTTTGAAAGATTCTAAAAGGACTAAAGTGAAGGAGATTGATTAGTTGAAGTGAAGTGACTTGGCTGAATTTGATTTAAATTTTACATTTAAATAGTACATTAGCAAAGTTGGAATAATATACCTACAGTAATTGTTATACGTGGGGCACACACACAAATATGTTTGGATATACATATAATCCAAGATATTGCAATGGAATAAATGTGGATGTTGTAAGAAAACATAGTTTTTTTTAAATAAAGTGTAATGTATTATATCTGAGTTCTTTCTAGAAAGGTTCAGATTACATTTACTGGAATAAGCGGTACTGTAAAAAAAAAGAGCTTTCCAGAAGCTGTCAGTAAAGACGAGGCAGTTATTCCTAATAAATATTTTGCCTCAGATTAAAATAAGTGCTGTTGACATTTACTTTTCACTCTAGTTATTCATCTTGGGGTTTGTAATCAGTAGCTATATGCCTTTAACAGATGTTTCAGGATCCTTGAGCTATATCTTTCAGTTACTAAATGTGTCCTGACGTTTATTCTGACCGACAGTATATAGTCAAAACCGAGCTCATGGTAATGTCAGGAGTCACACTGGAGGCTGTAGAAAATCACAGCTGCTGGCGAAAATAATCATAATCTGAGTCCTTGCAACAGCCTTGAAAACATGATGCAGCTGAGAAATGATGTATAAAATCCAAACAGGTTAAAATAGTCTAGAAAACATGAATCAGTGGATATAGCACATTAGTTTGTCAGATTGTAATTGCCATATTTTTTATTAACCCTTTCTGTAATTGCCTGTATTATAAAATTCCGATCTTTAGAAGCTGAATAGTATGTAGTGTTACTACAGTAAGGAAGTCCACATGGAAAGAAATAACCCCAATGCATGTCGCTTAATTTTCTTTCATTGTTGAATTTTCGTCTGCATTTCTACTGTTAAATCCAAAGTTCGTAATTACAAAAAAGTCCTCACTGTCATTTCTCATTACTGCCACTAAGAGGCATCTTTTAACTACTGAACACAGTCAAGGGACCTGTTTTTTTCATGTTCTGTGCAGCTCACATGTACACATGTCAAATGACTGTTGTGTGTGCATTGCATGTCTTTATTATCATGTTTAATAAAATGAGGTTTTTAATGTAGTGGTGGAAACAGGAAAATTCCAGTAGTGTCACCTCTTCACCACACTTAATTTTTTTGCTTTGCGTCTGAGAAAATCCAGCACTGTCATGCCTGTCAGCACAGATCTGAAAGCACACTTTGCATCATCTTTCATATAGTGCTTTGTTCTTTCCGTGTAATAGATGAAAACGTGGTCCCTCTGGCTGAAGGGTATCTTTAATAGCTGCTGTCAGAGATGGGGCGTCGGTACTAGTTGTCTGTAGTTTCAGATGGAGGTTCAGAAAGCGATGCCGATTTCAGCAATGAAGAGGAGAACGACGAAGAATTTGCGGTGAAAAAGAACGTGCCAAAGAAGCCAAATAAAAAGGAGAAAAAAGCACAGCCGCAGAGCTCAAAAAAGGAAAAGAAGCCTTCAAAATCCAAACCTCGTGCAACAGGTGATTTTCAACTCATGGTTGGCAATTGACTTTCTTTATGTACAATCAAAACTTCTATGTCTTATTCCTCTCGCTCTTATTTAGGGTTTATTTGTGTTCCTAATAGGATAGTATAAAAGTATGAGTCAGCTGTGTTTAAGTTCTTTAAATTGTAGACAAGTGCTAGAGCAGTTTTCTGCTGCTTCGTTTATCAAAAGGTTAAAAAGTATCTCATTCCTTTTGTTTCATTTATACTAATTAATTGTCTTTGATCTTTTCATATGATCACTCCAAAATAAGTCTGTAAGAAATTTTCGGATAATGCAGCCAGAGTTTATGTAGTAAATCCTAAATCCCTCCTTCCACTCAAGTGACTCCTTCAGCTGGGACTCCCAGCCCCACAGCCGCCAGGCCTAGTCCAGTCCCGAAAAAAATGGTGCCATCTACTCCTCCCCTGACCGCCTCCAAGTCCCCGGTCAGTGGGAGTCCGGGAGGAGGGAGGATACCGAAGTGGACCCCACCAGGTGAGCGAACCCAGCAGAACCCGTGTCGGGTGCGTGTAGCTGTCGCCTCAGGAAGCGTGGCCAGGCAAGCCGAGGTCACCGAAGAACGCACATTGGAGATGAAAATGCCCCTCAAATGTTGCGCACGCCCAGATGAGGTTGTGCGGCCAAAGACCGCAAGGGGGCATTAAAAAATTTGTGAATTGGAAGAAACAGAATCACCCTGAGCTCTGAGACTCGGGGAGGGAGCAGTCAGCCAGGGCTCTCCAGCTCAGGTTTGCGGTTGTATCAGTGAGGCGTGTGGCTCCCCTCCAGTGGGGATGTGATAAGATAAGATCGCTTTATTGCCCATATACAATTTCTTGTATTAAGAATTTGTCTTTTCGCATACCCCAGCTTGCTTTCCATGAGACACACAGACAGGGAGAGAAGCTTGGGGTCAGAGCGCAGGGTCAGCCATTTATACGCCGCCCCTGGAGTAGTTGGGGTTAAGGGCCTTGCTCAGAGCCCCAATGGAGTAGGATCCCTCTGCTGGCCACGGGATTTGAACTGGCAACCTTCCAGCCACAGGCGCAGATCCTTAGCCACAGAGCCACCATGTGATGCCATGCTGCCTGGAATGTGGTAGACAAATGAGCAGCTCAGAGGTGGTTTAACATTTGTAAAGAAGCTTCATTTCAATAGACAACAAATCAAAGACTGTATTTGTAGAAGGTTTTTTTTAGTGCATGGTTTACTCCAACTTTATTCCAACACCAATGAAAGTAAAGTTGTAAAGCATTGTAGATTTTGTTGCTTAAGGTTTTTCTTTTTCATTTTGTTACATTAGGACTTTTCCTAAAAGAAAAGCTCTCGTGTTTGAATCAGGTCCCAGAGTTTACTGAGGAGGGATCACCACTGGTGCTCCTCTCCCTTCCAGTGAGCAGGGATGGACGTGTTCTTCACAGGCACAGATTGTGATCTTGCTCAATCTTTGCATCTAAAGCAGTCCTGTTCTCCAACCTCTCGTGCTCCAGGTCAAATCGGGAAAAGCCCAGAAGTGCCGAAAAGTCTCCCAGCCAGGTCTCCGGGGCAGGGATTACGCCTGGGACTGTCCAGATTGGCCAGAGTGAAGCCTCTGCACCCCAGTGCTGCTGTGAACTGAACTTCACTCATCTCCAGAGACCCTCTCTTCCTTGCCAGTGTAGTACCGGTCACGGCACAGACAAATCACAACATCTTCTTGAAATGCTTCTGCAACAAGTGCAGCCCCCGGTATATTCTGTAGTTTTATTATCCTCTATTATTTATTGCTAGACCTCCACTTTAAAGGCTTTTTTCCAGACTTTTTGTGATAGTTTTGCTGAAGTTCCCAATTCCTGATAAAAGAGATCATGTCAGGGGCAATGTTTTTCTGCTTCTGAGGTAGGTGTCAACATCATCTCTTTTTACCTTTATAACTATCCCTAACCAAACTGATTCCTACTATAATTCCAAAATCCTCAAATTATTTTATTTAAAAAAAAACATTTTTAGCCATCACTAGGGGTCTCACTGCTGTTTTGTCATGACTCCAGTATTGATTCATGTTTGTCAAAATAAATCCTGGGCTTGTTGTTTGCAGAACTGTATGTCATGCCTTGACACAACCTTCCTTGTATCTTGTCTGGTGAATCGGAAATTGCTGGTTCATACCTTCTGTGGTTTTTGTTACTGGGCAAGATGTGCTGCAAGAGTTGAATGCAGTTGTTTTTAGTGCATTTTGAATACGGACATGTGGTAATACTGTACATTGCTTGGTTAACCATTTTGTGCTGGTAGACTATAATTGATGTTGGAAATAAGTATATCAAACTTCATGATTTGTTTTAAACCTGTAAAATCCTGATAATCAGGCCTTTTATAACAATATGTACAAACCAGCCGTTTTTAATTGAAAATTAGATACCAGCACTATACCCAATTTATAAACTTTTATTTTTATGTTTTTATTTATATAGCAGTAATATCAAATATGCTCCATCTTAGGTAAATCTTTTTTTGGTAACAAGTCAACCTAGAAAGAAATGACTTAGCTGCGCTTGTTAATCAACATGGGATGTAATTCCTTGCATAAACAGAAAGTTTCTTTTTATATGTGGGTCAAAACTGTCTTCATAAACAGTGATAATGAGAGACGCTTTGGTGTTTCCAACCAAAATGTGTGAGCAGAGTGATTCAACTTGAATGCAGTTTGCCCCTTTTGCAAAGCCTATTCTGAGAATTTCTGGTTTTGTGTGAGCTGTTCTATAGGTGTGCAGGTTTCAGTCTTTGTCAAACAGTTTTGTATTTTTGTATCAGTTTTGTGTACAGAAAGAGAAATTTCTAATAAAAATAGTGATTGAAAATGTATGCTTTTTATTAATCAATACTGGTAAGGTGGATGTCGTGGTTAGTTTTATGGCTTCACAGATCCAGGGTCTTTAGCTCGACTCTAGCCTTGAGTGTTTGTCTGTGTGGAGTTTGCATGTTCTCACTTTGTTCACATGGGATTCCATCAAGTGCTCTGAATTCCCAGCTTCCAAAGACATGCTGGATAGATATGATTGACTGTTTTAAATTGCCCCTTTCTCCCTGCTATGGATTGGCATCCCATTAAGAAGGTAGGTTCTGGTGTGCTCTCAGTCCTGCCTTGAGCCCTGTGATTATGGGAGAGGCTCAGTCCCAGTACTGTGACCCTCGCCAGGATAAGGGGCTAACTGATTATGGATGGATAGAGTTAAATAGATTAAAATCTTCCCTAAAGTCCCTGCAAATCTTTGTTGTTGTTGATCTGTATAAAATGGTGGCATTTTAGTGCACATTTTGCAGAACAAAGGACTGTTTTTAAATGTGTAAATCAGTTTAAAGTATAATTTTCACAACAGGATAATCCTTCAAGGAAGTTAGATACAATACATGACTCCACGTCATTCATGAATCAGAATTTCATAACCTGGGTGGCCGAAAGTGATGAATGTATGATAAAAAATATTATAGCTGCTCATTACTGCTCTAGAAGAGCCACATATTGGATGTCTTCCTCTGTAGAACTTTTCTGTTTAAATGCTTTTATGTTTATTTTTTTGTTCAGTCAGCTTTAGAGGACACATCCCTTTTGTAAACCTTCCACACACATTTTAAAGAATGTGGTTAAATTCTTCCATCGTCACTGATATCCACCTATTTCCGCAGAGTTTTCTGCTCCACCAAGGTCAGATCAATGTGTTGTTAATAGACCATTCCTGTCTTTGATTATTTTCTGCTACATGTAACCCCTCTCTTTTGTTATTACTGTTTTCCAACTACTTTTATTATTTTCATACCTCAATATCCTTGATGTCAGATGTTTTCCTAAATTCTCATATATTTGATGACTCATGACTTGAAGCATATAAGGTATCAAGCCAAAATCTATTGGTCTATGTTTTGAGCAGGCTCTTTTCCAGGACCCAGTGATGATAACCCAAACCCAAATGCCTGACAATTGTGATTAATCCACTATGTCCCTCAAGCCCACCAGAACTTCAGGGAATGTTTATGGACATTATGACATGAGAGTAAAGTGCTCCTGCATATCCTGCTTCAGAGAAACGAGTGTTATATTTAGTGTGTAAATAAAGCAGATGCTTCTGTGTTATTTCAACACGTGTGTGCAATGCATGTATATCTGATTTTGCACAAAGGTTAAAAAACCTAAAAGGCAGAGCCCTCCCCTTAAGCTTTATGAACTGGTCTGTACAGTAGTTACGGAATCTGTATGGAGCTTTTTTCTCCCTCTTGCACCTGCTATGCAACACAAAAGGGGAAACAGGGTATGAAAGCTCTGTCATAGTGCAATTGCTGAACATGAATATCATTGGGATCTGTTTAAAAAAATGAATTACGTTGTAATAAGACTGAAAGTCAAATCTGCCTAGATCTTTAGATGTTTTGTTGTTTTAGAACATGAAGCAAGATAAGCCTTCTCTCTTGAGGGAATAGGAAAAGAATTTAGACAGCACCCTGTAGCTTGAGCATATCAGACCTTGAAAGCACAGCAACGCGGAGCCTGGACATTACTGGGAATGGGTGACCTCTATAAAAGGGCACTTATACTTGTTGGTATATGTGGTAATGGAGTACTAGAAGGCTGTGCTGTTCATGCTGCATAACGTTTGTTAAGCTAATGCTCCAGTAAAGGCATGGAGGGCACTGAGCTGTAGGAGGTCATACTTCAGATGAAGTGTTAAACCAAGGTTCTGGCTACTTTGGTCATTATAATAATAATAATAATAATTGCTTACACTTATATAGCGCTTTTCTGGACACTCCACTCAAACCGCTTTACAGGTAATGGGAACTCCCCTCCACCACCACCAATGGTCCATTATTGGTCCCATCTGGGGTGTCTTGTTTTGCCAGCACCCATATCACCCTGCAACTCACAACTGGCAGACCCCTGAAGCTCAGCAGATGTCAGTACCTGGATGGAATGGTCAGTACCTGGATGGAAGACCTCCTGGGACCTCCTGGGAAAAACTAAGGTTGCTGCTGGAAGAGGTGTTAGTGGGGCCAGCAGGGGGCGCTCACCCTGTGGCCCATGTGGGTCCTAATACCCTAGTAATAGTGACACTATACTGTAAACAGGCGCCATCCTTCGGATGAGACGTAAGACCAAGGTCCTGACTCTCTGTGGTCATTAAAAATCCCAGGGCGTTTCTCGAAAAGAGTAGGGGTGTAACCCTAGTGTCCTGGCCAAATTTCCCATTGGCCCTTACCTATCATGGCCTCCTAATAATCCCCCTCTATGAATTGGCTTCATCACTCTGCTCTCCTTCCCACTAATAGCTGATGTGTGGTGGGTGTTATGGTGCACTATGGCTGCCGTCGCATCATCCAGGTGGGGCCGCACATTGTGATAGAGGGGAGTCCCCATTACCTGTAAAGCGCTTTGAGTGGAGTGTCCAGAAAAGCGCTATATAAGTGTAAGCAAATATTATTACTATTATGGTCATTTACACATAGATGGTATAGATTAAGATCTATGTGCTCACACTACCCCCTATTGGCTGATATTATTCTGCAGCCTGGGTTCAAGAAAATTCAAACTTGACATTTTGTTAGCAGCCTGATGAGGGTGCTGTTTCTTGAGTATCATGTCTTAATACAAATAATATTTCATTTTTATCTTCAGTGAGATACTAAATTCCTACTGATGTGCTGTATAAACCCAAACTGTACGGATGACTTACAAAGATTATGTCATGCATTATTTATGCAAAGTGAAATGAGCTAAATACCAGTAAAAAGTGCCTTCGTTGTTATTGCGCAACACAGGAGTTTAGACCATCCAGTATTGTGGTAGAACTTCAACAAAAAGTGTAAAGCAATGGTAATATACAGACACACAACCAAAACGTTTTCTCTGCATGAAAACAGGCAATTCAGGTTTCAATCCAAGTTAAAAGGCATCAAGTGAATAAAAGGTTAGATTTTTAAATAAAATGTGGAATTACATGACTTAAAACATAATTTATGCAAATCTGGTCCCAGAGAAATTCCTAAATGTAAATATTTGTCAAATGTTTGTTTCTTTGCTTGAGTTTTTCTGACCTAGCTTATATTTAAATCATGTTTTGTATGATCTGGCTTCAGTTATCCTGTTCTGAAATCTTTTATTTTCGGTAAGTATATATTTTAAACAGTTTTTTACCAATGGCATGTTTTTTGTATTAAGTGGGTGTTCATTTACCACAAATGGTTTCTGTTTTGACTGACTAAACTGACTAAATTTACCATTGACTTTTTTCATTTACATTGGGCGAACATGAATATAGAGCTGTATACAACACATTTTGCATAACAATACTGTTCTATTGATAACGTTCTTCTGTAGAGAAGTTTGGTTGTTTAACCCTGTGTTTTTTCACAGGCAGATAGAAATTAAAGCAGTCAATAACAGAGGGCAGGATAGTGGCGCCTGGGGCCAAGGCTCCTATCTGTGTGGAGTCTGCATGTTATCCTTATGTTTACATGGGTTTTTGCCAGGTGCTCTGGTTTTCTCCCAGTCCAAAGACAAAATGGTAGGTTAATCCACTTCTGGGAAAATTGCCCCTGATGAGAGTGTGTGTCTGTGCCTGTGTGTGCCTGCGATGGACTGGCATCCTGTCTTGCTCCCGTTGCTTGCTGGGATAGGTGACCCAGAATTGCATGAAGCAATTAGAAAATGGATGAATGGATGGAATGATTTTGATGGTAAATTGTTAACAATGTGTAATACAGTTGCATAAATTGACATGTGCTGTGATTCAGAAAACTAATTTTATACTGTTTTGATGAAGGCACTTCATTATTAACGCTTTACTTTGCTTTTCTGAATAACATCGGCTTTCATTACTGCAATTTAACCCTTTTAAGACCCTTTTAAGTTTAGGCTTGATAGTATATAAGACCTTGCTTATTCTGAGCCACTTATTCTACTGTTTTGTTTTCCAAAGATCATTTTATGGGTGATTGAGCCTTCAGCTGCTCTGTGACACTGTCTTCCCAAGTCTGCCTTAGAGTGGCAGGAAGTTTAATTGAATTCCAGTCAATGTTCAGACGCACTGTTGTTAACTTCCAAGGTAGACACGCTGTCACGGATGTCGGAAAGGGGCGAACCGTGGAATGGCAGGAGAGCGAAAAGACCCTATACGTAGCGGCGAGACGGGGGTAAGCCTGGGCTTAGCTATTCAGGGAATGCCGTATAGAAACCTATGCCCTCAGGTAGCGGATGTGGGGCGACCTGGTGCTAGGCGGGTTTCAGGACATCTGAACGTCAATGCTGAGCAAAGGCAGAATGAAAGATCCGGAAATATATAGCCCCAGAGCCCCAGCCCCAGAGAAACACTGGAAGGACAGCAAAGAACCGGAAATGAGAGACAGGACAGAGAAGGAGCATGCCTTACGTTGACTTCACAGTGACCTTTTGTGCACAGTTCACTGGTAGCACGTGAAGTGTTTTGATGGTGATAAAGTAAGACATTTACTGCTTCAGCCTTTAAAATCAAGATGTAATTTAGTATGTTCAGTGTAGTCCAGGTCTAATTTTGAAAAATTGGGCTTCAAAACACTCACAATAATGTGATGTCATGGGCAGTCATGCTGTCCCAGCAGTACCTAAGACCGTGTACCATCCTAGCCTTCCTGACATAGTGAGGTGTAAAAATGACAGTTGAATTACTCATGAGCTGGGTACCATAGCAGCATATGAATAATTTTTTTCTATTTTTGTTCTACTGGCGTGCGTACTGGTGTCCTTGAGCACTTCAAGGCCACTCTTGTTCACAAAACTGGATTCTACCGCTGCAAGATAAAAAGACACATAAACTGACGACAAAAA